GGTGCTCTTCCAACGGACTGACTAAGATATAATTATTCTGGTTGACTGGTTGGTTATCCGGTTCCACGTCTCTTCTACGATGCCGGAATATGTTTTGTAACAAAAAATTGCAAAGCGAAGAAAGCGGACCCAAATGGGGCATCCGATAGGTTTAGAACAACTTAAGATCGTCATTAGGCATAACACCATATTAGACGTGTTGGCTACTTCTAATTCTCTCGTTGATTTATGTCCTAGAACCTTTTTAAATAGTGATCATAGTAGTATCATTCATGCTTCATTGAAATTAGACCATCATATATCTCCATCGAATTTTCTAGATTTCCGTAGCGCTCTTCATAATCACTTTTCAAATAAAGAAGAGCAATTTTTAAATATCAATAGAGATTCTTTCTGGACTTAAATTAAAAGAAAATTTGCATATCCACAAATAATACTGCAACCTAATGATAATGTGGTCACCTCTGATATCAATATTGCAAGTAAATTTAATCAATATATTTCTAGTCTATTTGTTGAAGACAATACTTATAGTGTTTTTTTCAATGTGAATCGAAGCTATTATATCTCTCTGAAGGTTGAAATAACGTTTTTATTATTTATGACGCCTTAAATAACATTTCAGCTGATAATATTCCACAAATAATTTATAAAAATATGCATGCTCCCTGAGTTTTATTTCTAATTTTTTAATTTTTTCTAATAAAATTGGCCTTAATCCAAAAATTTGGAAATTATTTCATATAATTCCCATTCATAAAAAAAAAAACACCTGTGATCCTTCTAATTACATTAGCCTACTAGGTAGAAAAGTATGGAAAAGTTGATTTGTAACAAGTTGCTTGCTTATCTTGCCGACAATTAATGCCGACAATTTCATATCCACCTATCAGCATGGTTTTTATACGAAAAAATTTATTTCAAAAATATTGGCAAATCTTTTCGATTGGTCAGTATCAATTGACAATGGAAAAACAATATCAGTTGTGTAGATTTGGCTAAAGCTTTTGATAGTGTTTCCCATAGCAAATTACTGATCACTCTTAATTATGGCATTACAAGAGACTTATATAACTGGGTATCAGATTGCATAAAAGATTGCCACCAGGCTGTATGTGTCAACAACTCTTTCTGACATGAAACCTGTTGAATCTGGCGTTTCTGAAGGTAATTGTATTGCGCCATTATTCTTCCTTTATATAAATGATATCACCAAAGTGTACTAAACTTTTCTATTTATCTTTATGCTGATAATTTTAAAATTCATTACTCTCATGGTAGATCAGATAAACCTGTCTCCACTACTACATGATGACCTCAATAGAATTACTAACTGGCGGCTAATGACAGGCAAATTACCGTTTCTTTTAAAAATTATAGCGTTCTACATATAAATTCTAAAGGATTCGATCATACATATTTCCGATTCTGGTATAAATCATGGATGAAAATCTTGATTTCGATCTTCACTGCAGAACAAAACTCTAGTAAACCATAGTAAAAAAAATCCTCGAAAATATTAAATTTTATTTTAAAGTCTTTGGTTCCAAAAAATGATTGCTCCAAAGTAAAAACACACTTCATCCACACTTAAAGATTGATGATTTTATATGGATAATCGATATCTGTGGATTTGTTGAGTTTTTTTTTTCCTTGCTAATCTTCAAATCATTTATCAACTCAATTTGATCTCTTTGAAAAATAAAAACAATAAAAGCTCGAGAAGAATATATCAATCGACCTGAAAAGTGTTAAAGTGTTTTGTTAAAATTTCGTACGGTCTCACACTTCTTTTCTAAATTTTTTTCATCAAAACCATTTATTTTTAAAATTTTGCCTTTAGAATATTTAATTTCAAGAAAATGATTTATTCAGCTTAAACTGCAGATGGCAACCCAAGTAAGTTCAATTGGCAAGTTAGTCTATGGCGAAAGGTTACCTCACACAAATAGCGAGTGCAGTGCCAGTTAAACTAAAAATAAAGAGTGCAATTAAAAAAGGAGCAAATTTCAGCTAATCCTGATTTAAAACTTGAGTTAAAAGAAATAAAAAACCTAAAGGGTTCTAGAGTTCTAGGACGTAGCTATTTGCTCGTTTAGCGACAACAAGCCATAAATAAGTAATATCAAACGAGATGAAATATGGAATGAAATAATAATACAGGATCAGTTCTGTCAAAGATGAAGTTTTGAGTTTAAATGATGCCGTGAACCATATTATTAAGTTTGCTTTTGAAACTGGAGACGGAGGAAGCAAGAAGGTGATTGATAATTTATTCCAATAGTTGGTATTTCCTATGGAAAAAAGGTGAGGGATGACGGTGTATTCTCAACTCACCACTAGGCATTAACATAAGGCATTGGTAATAATAATTAATAGAATTCAAAATAATAAAGCGAAATAGAATCTCAGGTCTTGCTTGATACTTTGGACTCTAAATAAATCGATATTATACAGATTTTATTCATTTTAAAAAGCGTGTTCAGAATGCTTAGGGTTATTTTATTTCTGCAAACTCTCAATCGACGTAAGTGGGGAACAAACTGCGTTATATATTCGAGTCGTGGAAGAACGAAAGTTTCGTTAAAAGAATATTATCCAACTTGCTAAAATATTTAAGGCAAGATTTTTTAACAAAACGACTGCACTATATATCACAGCTGCGATTTTCACTAATTATCAATCCGACATTTGAGCGACAATAAATAGCGACAATAAACGAACAGAATGCAGCGGCCAACACATAATGATGGAGATCACCGCATTTAGAATTAGCTTAAGCTGTTGTAAATAAGCTACAATAAGACATCTTGAAGTTATCTGATCTACCATATATACATAACTTCTACAGCAATCAGCATATAAATAAACCGGAAACAAGCTCTGCCCTATTGATGAAAATTAAAAACAATAAATTGGTAAAACAACTACCAATCATTTATTAGTGCCATTATTATTATTATTGCTCAATTCGGAGCGCCGATGCTGAAATTCTATTCCCCGCAGAAGTAAACCTGTCTAAAAACCCGAGTGATGCTGGTGACTCACTTGTACTTCTGTCGCCAAGGGACTCTCTGAGATATGCTCAGCGGAGCGAGCGAGTTTAACCAGTAATGGTGAGGACTCTTGAAAAAAAGAAAATTATTAATTAATATATTCATTCAGAATGATCTTTATTTGTTATTATCGCTATTACCACTGGCTTTTTTTGAGAAATACCATTTTTTTCTGTTCCATAATAAACGCAGCACGATTGTATGAGACGCATTTCAATTCCCACGTTTCTTCTGCAAAAAACATTCCACGCCCACGTATTGCATATAATGCTTGCTTATTTTTAATATTCCCCCTTTTTTAGAAAATTTATATATGAAATTTATAAATTGAATATTTATAAAAAAATATTACGCAGAATAAATAAATAAATTGAAAAATTATATTCGAAAATGACGCTTCAATTCGCTTCAAATTTATTCATCAAAAAATAAAAATAAAAATGGACATATTTTCTTATTTTCTTATTTACAAATTTTCTTTGTTAAAATTTTTTTAGTCCTCACCATTACTGGTTAAACTAACTCCGCTGGCTTGTCGCACTGGACAAATATGCCAGGGAGCCCCTTGGCGAAAATACAGGTGAGTCCCTCCGCATCACCCGTATTTTCGGACAGGTTTACTACTGCGAAATGGAACCCCAGTGTCGGCGCTCCGAATTGAGCAACAACTCATTGAGCCATTCCATCTCAAACCTTGTCAAAATACGACAAATTGCTTAAAATTTTTTGAAAATATATAGAATCAACGAGAATTATCGAAAAAAATGTGCAGTCTGCCACAAAATAAAACTTAGGCATTTATAAAATATTATTTTTATTATTATAAAGCCCCCAGGCTCCACTGGTGACTTCTGGACGGTGCATGGGAACCAAATTCAAATTATCTATTTTTATTTGAATGGGAATCATTTTACGACTATTTTATATAGTTTATTCACTCGATATTTTATAGAATGATCTAGGGCCCGTGGAAAAAAACTGGTGACCGGTAGTCTAGTCACTCGGATTTTTTAACAATAGGTTTATTCTTGATGACAATAAGAGCCAAATCCTTACTTCTCAAGCATCCGACTACTCTTTAATATTTTCTACCTAACAGATGAATATGGCCACAGCAAAAAATGACACAACAAAGAGCCAGCCGCAATCATAAAATAAAAATATACCAGTTTATTCTGTAAAAATAAAACATTTCAAAATTTACATTTTAATAAACCCACATTATTTTTGATTAATGAAATAAAAGACCAAATCAAATAAAATAAATAATAATTAAAAATTTATAAGTAAATAATTCTATAATTCTAATATATTTAAAATAAATGAAACCTCTAACTTATGAAAAAAAACGCGAAAAGACCTATGAATAAAAAACGGTAAATTCTTTTTCAACCAGCCTTACCTTCAAATTCTATAGAATTCTTTTTTTCAAAACCTTATGGTTTTTAAATTCTAATATTACTAAATTTTAAACGACCATTGGATTTAAAACTATCATAAAATAAATCTTGACAGATTAAGCCAATGGATAATTTAATTAAAAAACTTAGATAATGTATAAATATATAAAATTAAGAAGTTCATCCATAATCCCTATAAAATATGGCCAATATAAAAAATAACCTCATAAAAATACCAAATTCTCTATATCTAAATAATACAAACACAAAAAGCTCGAAAAATAGCAGAAACCTTTATAAATCACAAAATAAGAAATAAAACGTGAAAATGAGGGCAGCATTAATAAATTAAATTATAGAAACTAACCATAAATTATTCATTTAATGGCAGCACTGACTGAGGTCATATAATGCAAATTGAGAACCTTGTCAAAAATGAGATTTAAAATGAACTGAAATTTAATAAGACAAAAATAAACTATATTTACAAAAATGAAAAGATAATCAGATATAAAAAGCACCCTCTATTTAAAAAGCTTTTTTGTCAATCACCGGATACGTTGGTTGAATTCGATTCATGATTTGGCCTTTTTAAATTAGTTCCGTAATTGCTAATGACCATCATTAACATAATTAGAGATAAATACAGCAAACTAAAACGAAACAGTGCGCGAGAAGTCTTTGCATCGGCATTTTGGTAGAATTTAAACGACAAATAAACCATATAAGCATTTATAGGAATTGAATCAAAAGCAAAGGAGGTCTGTGTCAATCCAGAAAGTGGTGCCGCTAATGAACATAGAGCAAACAATGCAACCGAATGTCTGAAAAACAAAATTTTAAAAAATTTTTAAAAAATAAAAAAAATAAAAATAAAAAATAAAAACAAAATAAAAATAAAAAAATTTAAGTTTTCTTCCAAGTTTCAATAAATTAAAAATAATAAAAAGAAAAAAGAATAAAACATAGTTACAAAACATTTCCACTTTTAAATATGTTCTTTTAGATTCCAACGATATTTACTCAACTCAAAATCAAAAAATTAGATGACAAAGAAACGAAAAATCACCGCAATACTGTGGCCCGGCATAGCTTTTCATCGATGACGCACATTAACCTATAACCGGCTCGAGTGTATTCTCCTCTAAGATTCCAACTTAAAGCATTAAAGTGTGGAAACTGCCAAGAAAATAGTATAGCAGCAAGAACAAGAGAAGGAAAGTCAATTATTCCTGTTGCTGCAGTATAGCCCATAACTGGTGGAATAGCACCAACCACTGCTCCCACCCAAGTGCAACCCACATGGTGGCGCTTTAAAGGAGTATATATACCTGAAAAAATTACATCTAAAATTACTTTAATTTAATTTAATTAAATTTAATTAAATTAAATTAACTAAATTATAAGTTATTAACAATTTAAGAAAAAATGACACAAATAAATGAAAAATTTAAAACAATCCAATACAAATCTTCTGAAAAACTGGTTATTCATATCAATTTATTTTTTTCATTTTTTGAATTTCTTCAGGTTAAGGTTATTATTATCAGAGGACCAAAATTTTTATTTTATTAAAAAATAAGAAATCATAATAAGGCACACTTCGCAAAAAAATTCTCCAAAATTTTGGGCAAAAATTTAAAATTATTGCTGAGAAATAAATAAACCTGCATAAAGTAAAACGTTGAGAATACCAAGAATAGCAGTTAAAAGATTGCATTTCCAAAGCAATAAACTAAAGCCACCGAGTGCAGTTATATTGGCGAAAAAAAGTGTATGTAAAGGAGTAAACCTAAAAATTTGATGTTCAAAATTGTTATTAAAAATATTTCAAATATTTCAAAAATCCATGTTAACCTTTGTAGATGTCTTTTATTATAAAAATAGTGCGAGAAATTGCAAACTGCAAATCAAAACTGTCAGTTTCACCAAATGCGATATGAAATAAGAGATGAAATATACTTGTGGACGACAAGGAGCCGTGACTGAGTCCTTTTCATTTGTGCATCATAAGGAGCTTCAAGCAAATGATTATAAGCATTAGCTGAAGCAGAGAGTAAAGCAGTACCTAATGCGCAAGACACCAAAGTAGGAAAAACAATCGAAACTGGCGACAAAATAAATCCACCGACTGCTGTTACCGTTATTAAAGCTGTTAATCTTGCTTTCGAAAGCTACAAAATTTCGTTTATGAGTGTTGATTGACCAGATCAATTTTTGATTATTTACGGTGAAATCTTACTTGAAAATAACCATTTAAAAGTCCATTAGGTGCAATTTTACTCCATTTGTCAGCTTCACAACTTTCCATAATTAATTTTAATTTTTTTCGTCTAGCAATCAAAAAATTAATGTCATTTTTGTTGAGTTCATTTGTTATATTGTTTGAGGTTTCAAAATCGTTGACTTTTGGCCGCAAATTAGGTAAAACTGATAGAAAACGACTTGAAATATTCAGGGAATTGCGATAATAACGAAAATATAAAAATGCAAACATCTAAAAAATTCTAAAAATTAAAAAATTACACTCACAAATTTGCAAGGAAAACGCTAACGATTACGCATTAAAAAATCGCTATCACAATTAGAAATTAAATAATGATTTCGAATATGAGAAAAGAATATAATATAGCAAAAATAAACCAGAAACTATTTCTCTTCTTTTTTAAATATTATTTCCTTCCAGTCATCACTCTCATTTTGGTTAGTCCCTTAGAAAGTCATCCGAGGATAGATGGACTTCCTGTATCCGGTTTTCATAAGAACTAACAAATACATTCTTATTTTTTCAAAATAAAATACAATTACAAAAAAGCGATTCCACCAATTACCAACTTCTCAAAAATAAACCGTCAAAAATTTGAAATAAAAATCTAAGAAACAGGAAAGAAAATAGAATTTATTAAGTGAAAACAATTCAATAATAATAATAATATAATAATTCAGTTAACACTGAAATTTAAAAGCTGAAACTGATTCTTTAAAATAATTTTTATTAATAAAATTTTTTAGAATAATTGTAATGAAAGCAAAGCAAAAACCCTTTGCAACAATATGCAAAATATCAATATTGAATACAAACTGAAATTAATTTAATAACTTTCTAAATATAATATAAAGAAATGCAGTTCGCTAATAATTTCCATAAAAATTATTTCTCTTAAATAAATAAACGAAAAAATTTTTTCGAAAAAAGTAATGGAAATGTAAATTAGACTTTTACTTGAAAAAATTTTGGTAAAATTTTGATAAAACATTTTAAGATGAAAAGCGAGAAATTAATGATAAGCAAATACAGAGCTCGAAAATGATAAGAAATATATGGAATACCACTAAACGAACTGATCGAGCAAATTTTTGGTAAATCTTCCTCTTTCTAGAATAAAAAATATGTAGAAAGCTGCAATTGTATTTTTTGAAAAGAAATTTTTTAATTTAAATGTTTTTTCTTTTTATTTTTTTTTTTCACATTCGCCTTACGACCTCCTTTCGTTTTCGTTCAGCTTTATTCCTTTTTCCTATTATATATTCTTTTATTTGCCATTCATTCTGCAGTATTTTTCGAAAAATAAATAAGAATTTTTGGTGTCTGAGGAGGAACCAAACGATATCCTAACAGCTTAATTTTACAATAGAAAAAGAAAAGATAACAGAGAGAGGAACTAATTTATGCTTGCATTGTTCACAAGTCAAAAGAAAGAGACAAACGACTCCAGTCACCTTTATTAAATATTAAATAAAAATTAATCTATTAAATAAAAAATAGAAAAAATTTGAAAAAAAATTTTTATTTTTTCCACAAATTCAGAGTAATAAGAAAATATTTCTCAATATTATTATTCAATAAATTGAATCTTTCGACCATCAATTAAATTTTTTTTTGAAGCCACATACTTCACTTTTTCCAAAAAGAAATCTAAATGAACGAGATATATTTAAGCATAGGTAGATACTTTTTCAACATAATATATTTAAATAAAATTTAAACGCCACTTATGTTATTTTATTTTAGTCTTAAATGCATAAAACAGGTTGGAAACTTTTATAAACTCAACAAATTGCCACAATTGTTGCTAAAATTGTCTTTTCGAGAAATTTGGTCCAGCTTCTGCTCCTGGCAAAAAAACTATAAAACTATTCTTCTTCTTCTAACAGCTCTCACCATCACAGGTTAGGCTTGGTCCGCTGGCTACGAGGGTAAGACGTCTCCAAGCTGCTCGTTCAAACGCCATCGCTAGTAATTATAAAAGAAATTCCTTTTTCCATCTCTAAGTCCATATACTGCTGGTCGACCTATACGTTCAAAATCTTTTCTGACCATATTAATCTAGGTCTTGATTGGCCCACCTCGCTTTTGATGCCACCAATCACAGAGTAACAAGTAACAAAGTAACGAATTATTCATCAACTCCTGGATAGGACAACCGAGAACGTACCCTAACCAGCGAAGGCGACGCTCTGTGATAACATTATTAATTCAAGTGGTATTTGAAGAAAGGTGGGTTCGATAATGTGATAATTTGTCCTCTTGCCGGACCCGTTAAATGTACGTTAGACAAGAGTGGTCAAAAGATAATTTCTTAATATTCGCCACTCTCATTGGCCATGTTTCGCAGCAATATAGTAAGGTCGAGCGAACTTCGGCTATATGGACGCGGAATCTTCATGGTGATTTCGCGACGGTTCCATAAAGATTTCATCAAATGGAAAAACACATTCTTAGCTGCCGCTATCCGGATAACAATTTCGCTTTTTGCCTGGCCATTTGGGATTAGAGTGGATCCAAGATATTTAAAGTCAAGCATTGAATTAATAAAAATAGGTATTTCGTCAGCATAGGTATCATATTGTATAAAATACTTTCGTTTTACATTGATTTTGAGTCCAATTCTAGCTGCAGTTGTTGGCACATTATTTAATATCATTTGTATTTCATTATAACTATCATCAAAAAGGACATCATCAGCGTATTCAAGGGCTATGCTTTGGATTGATTTGCACACCTCTTGACTGACGACAAGTGATGTCTATTAACTGTAGTAGAAAAGACACAGGCCTATGGAAATGACGGGCACCAGTTCTTATTTCGAAACAATCTGTCAGTTCCCCATATATACAAACCTGCGCCAGGTTTACTATTAAATTGCCTTTATGAGCCGAATGATCTTCTCTGGGACACGTCACATTCTATCACTTTCCAGATCGCTGCTCGAGCGAATCGAAGGCAGCTCCAAAATCGATAAAGCAAGTGACCGTGGGTTGCTGGCATTGAAGCACCTTTCCAGCACCTTTTTTAGCTAGACCCTAACCAGGAATAACGACTACTAACAACTTATTTATTTTAATACACTCAATTATTCCTATAAAACTTTTCATAATTTAAAGCGCAGAAAGATCTTTAAATAGTGATGAATGTTCCTGTTGGGAACTCCTATGGTGTTACCGTTAACCTTTAATCTTTTTTTATTTTCTAGTTTATTTTTTATCCTTTCTGTTAAGGGAAACGACTCACATGCGACGAGGTGTTAGCCCGTAACAGCGTGAAACGCCAAAATGCTTGTGGACGTTGCAATCATCATCCACACTTTTTCTTTAATATAAATATCGTGTGGTTGCCGCTGCTTGTTGAAGGTTCGTCTTCCACACTTTGGGTCTCATACAGTTAGCAAATCTGGTTCTGATCAGAGGTACCACTGTAGTGTTTCGGATAAATCGGGGCGAAATGGCGTGGTGACTATCATCTCGGTCCACTCCTATGGAGTGGAAGCCAGTAAACGACCATACGGTCAATGCTTGCTTTAAAAGAAAATTCTGCAATTTCTGAGTCGATCACCAGTTTATGTTTCAACTTTGTACGCCGTGATAAGGATAAATTATTATAAGATCTATGCAGAACTTCTACTACTTACAACACCTCTATCGAAAAATAACATAGTAATCATTAAAGAAGACTGGAATACATACGTAGATCACGATGCCGTTACGATAAACTCGGTAATTGTATGGCAAAGGGGTCCGATGCGCCAATGAAGAACGTTTTCGTTTTGGTGAAAAGCATAAACTTTTTGTTACTAATATATAATAATATATACTTCCGGCATCAGAGAAAATCACCTGGATATTCAACATTCCAACCAGACTGATTATATTTTAGTCAGAAACAACGCCGTTGAAAGAGTTTCGAATAACCTTCATGCATCAGAACATGTTATGATTCGAGCCAAGATTCGCATAAAATTACAACTCGCAAGAAATAATGTCAAGAGATCTATCTTAAACTAAAAGATTCGGCGAAATTAAGTGCATTTCAAATGAATGAATATCATCTCTGGAACGGCGGATAAATACTGGTCCCAACTAAAAGTAAGTCATTTCATTTCAACTGTGATATGCTGGTAGAAAATGCGCTAGTTGGGTATCAACTGTATAGCTACCTGAAAAAACAAGGATGTCAGGAGATTATAGGGTACAGGTCGAGGAATTACAACGAGCAGCATGGAGGGGCGGAAATAGCTCTTGAAGCGAAATGATCTTGAGAATGGAGACGATGGCTCAAACAGGTGATAATAGGAAACTTTTCGCCTTCTTCACAAAGCAACTAAAACTCGAGAAAGGGTCAGCGAAATGATACAGCTCACTAATGGGGTGCCAGTTAAAATTATTAAAGATCCCCTAATAAGATGAAAGGAAAAAGGAATTCTTTGAGGAAAAACTTAACCACGGTGTGTCATCTGTAGGTGATTCGCTCGTCGAACCATAAGTTTGCAATTGCGCCAATAAAAGAGGAAATAATCTGTTCCATCCAGAAACTTCTGGAGAGGATGACTTTCGAGCCTTTAAAACTCTTCAAACATTATCCATCGTCCACCATTAATCCACTTTGAACAAATATATTTTCTGGTATGGAAAAAAGAAATATTAAATATCTGCAGCAAAGAAATTCTGCTTCCAATTCATAAGAAAGGTAACAGGACCTTGCGACAGTTATCGACGAATCAGCCTCCTAAAATCTCCGAGAAAATTTTTGCTTTCCTCCTGCTGAATATACTTATCATTGGAGGCTGATGGAATGTGAAATTATTTCAGAGATCATTCGACTCATTAATTTACCACCGTATATCGGTACAGGGCTATGTATATGAGGAAACTGAGAGACCTTTCGAAATAAGAACTGATGTTCGCCAAGGCTTCATCCTCAACAATATTCAAATATGCGATAGAATGAATAATGGACACCGCTTGTCGGCAATCAAGAGCTGTCCAAATCGGTCCAGAGAATCGTACCACATATCTTGAATACGCTGATGATATAGCCTTTTTTAGCTGACAGTTATGACGAAATGGAAATAATGCTGAACTGCAGCGAGAATCGCACTCAGGGTCAATGTAAATAAAACGAAAGCATTTTTCGTCTTATATGCAAGAAGCTAATAAAATACCTATTTTTTAAGGAATAGCTTCTATTACTGTCAGCGATAACGTCGCAGTAGCTTGAAAACGTCTTGTAACCAGCGGAATCAGCCAAACCAGTAGTGGTGAGGCTGTTAGAAAAAGAGTGCTAACCACGAGGAACTCCTACGTACAACAGCTTAACCTTTCACCTTCCCACCACAACTTTTTTAGTTCAACTGGCAAAAATATTAAAAGGATAATGACGAGAATTTTTCAAAAATTCCCATCACTTACAAATTAAAAATCGTTCCCTAAATAATTCGGTACTTTCTAAACGTGTTTTGCTTCCGCTTCCAGCATATTCCAGAAGAAAAAATCGTTGAGTAATCTACGAGAAAAAGTGCCAATCCTTTTCCGTTCGTTTTTTTGTAATATTTCCATCTACTAATATTTGTTGTTTTCTTCGCTAAGTTAATTTTACCAGAATTTTATTTCAATTTTTTAGAATTATCCTTAAAAAACATTTGTTGATTCGAAGAAAAGAATTCGCAAATTAGAATTTAATTATTTTCATAGAATAAAAAATGGCAAAATCATCAATAAAAGTATATGCAAAGAATCTTTAAAATACAAACATAAAAAAAGCAAAACGTCGGACGAAAAAGCTCTGAATTACCAAAGTAATTAGAGTACGAATATTGCCTTAAGTCGAATGTAGGCGCAAACCACAATGTGTTTTTTGCACCATTTTTCGGCGATAAAACATGAAATAATTCCTAAATTCCTACGCTGCACCATTTTGGGTGAATAAGGTCCATTCGGTTCTTTCTCTTCAAATTTATTATTTCAGCTTCTTAGATGGAGTTCAACTGTGAATTATACGTTATCTGTTAATGAAATAAGGCCAAAAGAGTCGCATGGAGTTAGAAGTTTGGGTCAGAAATTGTTTATGCTCAGATTTGATATGACTTTTAACGAACCGTTAATCTTCATTATTTTGCTAAGACAAATAGATTTGCTGAAAGAAGCTTCCTTTGCAAATCAGTTATCTTCTTCAGCAGCGTAGCTGAATATTCGCAGATGGTTTTTTTAAGGCAATGCGATGCTTCGATTCTTTTTCATTCGTCGTCCAGCTTGGGTAATGTGGCTGTTAATTATTCTAACGACTGTCTGTGTTCACCTTATTACTATGCACTTTAACGCTTTACGGTTTGACGAATTTCGTCTTGAAGTAATGCAAGAATTGGAATTCTATAAAAGACAACTTCAAATGGTTTCTTTTTTTAAAATTTTTTCCATCGGTTTCATTTCATTGTATTTTTACTCTCTGATTGCTTAGAAAGTCTTGAAAAATTCCGCACCTAAGAGGAGGCAGAAGGGCGCCCTTCAAGGTCATTGAAGAAATCGATGTTATGAATGATAGGATAGCCTTTTGATACAGATATTTGCAAAATTCATCATTGGATATTTTTTTAGCTGAATATGAATTTTATGTGCATTTCTGAATTTATAGCACAAATTTATTATTTTTCATGATAAATAAATTTAATAGTTGAATTTAACAGTAGTTCGGTCGATTAAGAATTCGCTTATTTTATATATTAATTATTTATATTTATATTTGGCATAATTCATTCCTTTTTTACCGTTTAAGTGGTTTATTTAAAATTATTTAAAAGTAATTAAAATTAGTTTCAGCTTCGAAATCGATTAAAAGATAAAGAACGTGATTTATATTTAATCCATAATGCTACGAATTTCTCGTCAATCATTCCTTCTGTAAAATTTTTCATTTTTCTAGTTTACTATTGAAATATTTTTGAATTCATTGCTTGAATAGTTTTAGGAAGCAGGGATTTCTCTACCAACATCATTTGATTTCTTACCACATTTGTATTTGGCTTCTAATGTTTTATTCACTCCAGCACTTTCTATTCCAGCTATTTCATCTTTCTTATCAACTCGTCTTGTCATAGGAATTCCAACAGTGTCTCGCTTAAATGTGCTGCATTTTCCCTGTTTATTTTTTAAGTATTTTCTGATTATTTTAATAATCGAGAAAAAATTTATTTTTTTATTTCTTATTTTAAATTTATTTTTAAATTTATTTGAGAAAATTTTAAAAAATTATCATTTTGCTACTAAATTAGTTTAATCTTCAATTTTTTAAATAATTCCCAAGTTTGTTATATTTAGAATAATTTCTCGAATATTTTGCAGATTTCTTATGTTTTACCTACATTGCAATCACTTTTGAGTGAAATGTCGAATGAGGAAGCCGCAAATACCACAATAGTTTTAATGATTGCAGATGAAAAAGGGCCATCTTCATCATTTGCTGTAAATACTATAAAGTCTTTAAAATCAGAATTTCCTCAATTTATAAAGTCTGGTTTGCTTCAAGTGCGTTTTTCTTTTTAAAATGGCGAATTTTGAATTTGAATTGTTAATGCATTTTATGTAACATATATATCGTATATATATCATATATGTAACATATATATCATATATATATTATTTAGTGATGGATTCTTTTTTACAGATTTTTTCAGTTAATAATGCCACATCCCGAATGGTATCCTTCCGATTTACATTCAGTGCCTCCTACGTTTAATGATTCGCCGGAAAGAATGTACTGGCGTACCAAACAAAATTTAGACTATATTTATTTGATGTCTTATTGTCAAAGGCGAGGTATTGTTTTTAAAATAAGTATAGAAATGCGAAATATTTTCTCATCATTTTTAGACGAGTACTATATGCTTTATTTGTCTGAATTTTAAATTTTAGGCGAGTACTATATGCAGCTAGAAGATGATTTGATTACAAAACCGGGATATATTACGAAAGTTCACAAATTCATAGCAGAACGGGCACTTAAACCTTGGTTTATGCTAGAGTTTTCTTCTCTTGGTTTTATCGGAAAATTATTTCGAACTTCTGATTTACCACTATTAATACAGTTTATAATGCTATTTTATCGCGAGAAGCCAGTTGATTGGCTTCTTGACTCATTTTTTATCAATAAGTATTGCTCTCCCGAAAAGTCTACTAAGGAATGTAATTCCGAGGTATGCTGCAGTTATTTAGAATTATTTTATTAAAAAATTAAGTTTTGCTGAATGTATGAAGAACAATAACTCTATAATGAAAAGATCCTCCTTAGAAGCAAAATTCGGTAAAAAATGAATAGAGGCTTTTCAAGCTATTCAATTTTTTTAGCTAGATTTTTCATTTGTATTTTTATTTTTTTGTCTTATTATTGCTAAAACTTATTTGAGAATTAAAATTAAGATTTATTTACAAAATTTATTTTTAAAAAACAAAATTTTACAAAATTTTATCAAATATTAGAACATTCTTATACTTCATTTCTATATTTTCGATTTAGGTTGCCAAACAGTTTCGCTTGCGCCATCGTCCTTCATTGTTTCAACATATTGGTACGCATTCATCTTTAGCTGGAAAATTGCAAAAGCTTCGTGAGCGTGATTTTGGTGCAACACAGCATTTTATTGCTCACAAAGACAATCCAGCTGCAAAAATTTCAACGACATTGAAAGCTTATAAAACTCATAGTGGGATTTTTTTTGATCTATCTTTTTTATTAATTAATTTTCTTATATGGATTTTTAAACTTATAATTCAAAGTAAATTAGTACACCGTAGTAAAAGAATTATTTGCCCAATTCTTCATAATTTTTGCTGGGTAAAATTGAGATTCTTTTTTTTTGTTTATCATGAAAGCCCAGCAAATATATTTGAACTGGGAGCCACAGAAGAACTTCATATTCCTTGAATGAAAAATTAATGGAGAAAACAATGGATCCAATGGATTTTCAAGTTCTCAATTATCGATTTATCCTGATTTTTTAATATAATTTAGTTTAATTCAATTTAGCTATCACAAATGCTTATACTGGTACCAGTTTTTTTTGGTCCTTTGCTCCTAAAGGTGATGATTACATTTTAATTGAATTTGAAAAAACTGTCAAACTTCGTGGTATGTCTTTTATATATTTTGTATATATTTCAGTTTTTTCTACGTTCTTTTTCTATATTCAATTTTTTTTTGAATTTTTTGAATTTCAGCATAGTGATGAAAAAGTTCGAATGATTTAATTTGTTTTTCTTTAGGCTTTTTGTGTCGGACAGGGAATCCCGACCACCCAAATGATATCTTGGATGAAAATGATGCAATTTTGATCCGTAAAGCGAGATATCATGAATTTGAACAGGTTGCCATATTTAATAAATATGGAACAGTACGTTTAGAATTGAGATCTGCTGTTGATATAGATGCAATTAAAATTAACATTCAACAAGAAAGAAGTTTCTGGATTATTATCAACGAAATTCAAGTTATTGTGGAATAATTTTTTCAGAAATTTTTTTAATTCGGGTATTTATTTATTCGCTTCCAGATTTTTTTACAAATTATTAATCTGCAATTAAATTAATTAATATAGGTTATTTCAAGGACTAAACATGGAATCTCTTTGAATTGTATTTATTGGCATTTCGAAAGCAAATTTGGTCTATAATCATGAAAAAAATGGTTTTAAAGCATTTTGATACAAAAGAGGGTTTCTTTCTTTCTTTCGGCTCAGCCTAATTTCCCTCTAAATCGATCAAAATAGTCGCACAATATGCATTTTGGATAATGTCGTGCCATTAAAATTAATGATCGATTCCTTAAGTTTTTGTTCTTATAGAAAATTATAAAGTGGACGGGTTTTAACGGGTATTATTGCTTGCCTTTATTTTAATTTTTTAAATTCTGTTTTAAACATTTTGAACGGAAAAATTGATTTTGTATGCATTTTGCCTTTTAATTTTTTTCTATAATTGGTTGTTTTCGTTTTATTTTTTCTGCACTTTGAATTATTGCATGCATCTTTAAATTATCTTATGCTTCCAAGATTCGAAGATTAGTTTAAAAAGGAGATTCTCGTTGAAATTAATTTGTATTTGAATTTATATTTAAATTCAAAGAAATTTATAGTACGTGTTTCATAAATATAAAATTTTTTCCCAAAATATATTCGAATATGTTATTCCTTTCTTTATTCATTTAATGGATTTAGTGAGAAAATGATTTTTACTTTTATTGTTATTGACATCGTCAGCCACTAAAGGTGAAATTTTTCTCAATTCAAGTTTTATTTCTTGAAGTTATGTCCATTTATTTTTTAATATTTTAAAGACTGGATTTTCCTGTGGTACTTTAAATATATTAAAATGTATTGCATCATATCTCGCAGTTTAAAATATTTAGTAAAATGTTTGTTAACACAATCCTTTCTGATGAAATTTGTGCATTATTGTAGTAATAATATTAAGGATCGAACTAAGTTTTGGCTTAATATATTTTTGTTTTTATTGTATTATTTAAATTGTATCCAATAAAAAGTGTTTAATTTTGTGTTGAAAATTTGCATTTGTAACATATTCGAAAAATTATCTTCGATATTTTTTCTTGTTATAACGATTTTTAAAAAGTTTTGCCATATTCATGAGAACTTTCAATTGGTAAGCAAAATTAAAAGTTGTTTAAGTAAAAAAAGAAATTTTTGGGGAATATAATCGCCAATTCGAAAAGATACAAAAACAAATGATTGTACGAAAATTAAATTTTAGGGAAATGTCGGCACGTACCATTTCTTTTCCGGAAAAATTTTTCGCTGGATTAGGCGAAATTTATCGATATCACTTGAAGAATGTTGGTTCAATAATCTATGTTTGGCTTTTCAGCAGTCCAACTTTAATTTTTCCAAATTTTTAGAATATTTAAAGTATATTAATTCAGATGGATGTATGAGGAAGAAAATGAATACATTTGGTTATGCCGAACATTTTGTTCGATAGTTAAGGATGATTTAGCAAAATCCGTATGAGATAGTTGTAGCATAGGTTTATATGGCCATTGTTATCAAATGGTTTCCTGGCATTATATAAAAATTTCATAAAAACATTTACACGTTTCTAGGCCCCTCGTCGCCTTCGTATTCTAAAAAATGTCCTTGAAAAAGAAATCGCACCACCACATCCTTCAGAATGGTTGCATATTGTTCGTGAATACCGAGAATTTGAAGCTTTTTTGAAAAAAAAAGATCGTTTTGCGGATTTCACAGTGCGAGTAATTTTTTATTCTTTGTCATTTTGCCTTTCTAAATGTATTATATTGTTTTTATAAATCTAATGGTGATACATTGGCTTTTTTTGAGATTATAGTTTTTCATATTTTTTTCTGACAATTCTTAAATCTTTTTCGCCTTTTTTTTTATTAAGTATGAGTGTTATTTATTGGTGAACTATATCCTATACAATTCGTTCTTTTGTGGCTACAAATGTATAAATATAAATGAAAAAGTAGACGATGGAAAATCTATGCAAATCTATTTTTTCACTTTTCATTTTTTCTATTTTTTCACTTTTCTCTTCAAGTTTATCAATTTTTATTTTATTATATTTAATAATATTATTTTTTATTTCTATTAGCTAGTTTCATTTAGGATGTATTGGTACGCGCCGGAGTTCTTATAGAAATTGTTTTATGGTTTTTTGTTGGTGAGCAGATCGGTCGCGGAAATATAGCTGGATATATCGTCCCGGCAACGTATATACCAAAAGCCACAAGAAAGAAAGCTGCTGCAACACAAATTGATAATCCTTCAGAATTTTAACTGCATCAGATTTTCTAGTTAATTTTAAAAAAAGACTATTTTCTTTAGATTTTATAGAATTCCTAACGATATATTGAGTTCAATTTAGAATTTGTTAAGATGCGGAATATTTGCGTTGTTGAAATACTGAATGATTTTCGTGATGAATAAATTGTAGAAAGAATGAGAAATACTCCAGATTTTTGTTAACACTGATAATAGAAATGGAGATGAATTGCAGATTCTTTTGGTGATATTTATAATGTGTATAGATAGGAATGCAATGCAATCAAACATGATGCAATAATGTTCTTTCGATTTTATTCGTTCAGCGATGTAATTTTATAAAAATTTAAAATGACGATTAGAGATTCTTCTGTTTGAAAGTTTGCACAAAAATAAAATAGTAAATACAGCTGTTTACAGCCAATGATTTTGTGGTTCAAGCATTGCTAACTTTTCATAAATTTTGGTAAAAGTTGTCCATTTGATCCGCATTAATAAAGGTTATTGGTCGAGTAATCTTATAAAAATTGTACTGATGAAAGAATATGGGCTATAAAGCTTTAAATCAACGTTAAATCATCACCCTTTACCTTTGGCATGATAAAAATTGTAAAAAATTTTTAGGAGATGCTCATTTTTGATAAATATTTTTGAAAATGGAATCACAAATTTATAATTTATAAATTAATGATGCCTGCTTTTCGAAGAAGAATGATTAAAATTATAGAATATTATAGGATTTTAAGGAATGATGAAAAAGTGATTTCAACCAAAAAACAAAAGCATTCAACCAAAGCATTTATCAGTTAACCAAGCGACGAATTCATTTATTGTTTAAATATGTTTTTCAATGTTTAAGGTAAGTAAAACTACAACGTGAAATAAACTTTTTCAAGTGATTAATAGGCAATCGTTACTTTAAGTAGTTACATTACATCTTGTAACTTATCTATCTTCGCAATGTAAATGAAAGAAGCTTTGAAGGTCTTTAAAAAATCCCCTGCAAAGAAATTAAAAAATTATTGAAAAATAAAAAATCATTAACTGTCATTAATCACGATTTTTCATTAATCATTTTAATATAAAAGATATAAATAAGACAGACATAGGGCGATTTGAGAAAAATATGAAAACAATAAAGTAATAAAAAGATATACAGTGGAATAGAAATCGTAAAGCAGTTTGATCCAGATGATTACATAGTAGAAAGTTCAAGGAGATATGCGCCAAAAACTTTGATTCCTTCAATATAATTCGAAACATCAAGCTTTTCGTTTTGTGAATGTGCCATATCATCACATGCACCCATCGGAAGTAACATAACATTACGACCTGTCAATTCTTGGAATGTTAAAGTGATTGGTATACTTCCACCTTCACGAGTGAAATCCGGCTCAGTACCATAAACTGCAAATTATCTTTGACATTTTAACATTTCCTTTCTTTTTTTTGTCGCTAAGCGCTTTCCAAATCTAATGATTTCACCATTTTGTATAAAAACCATGATTTATTTCTTCTTCACCATAACAGCTCTCACCATTAATGGTTAACCTGGCTGCGCTGGCTACAAGGATAAAACGTTTCCAAGTTGTTCGATCTGACTCCAGCTAATAGTAATAGAAACTATTCCTTTTTCCACCATCTAAATCCATATATCGCTGTTCCTCCTATACGCTCAAAATTTTTCCTGACTGTAGCAATCCAGATCTTGGCCTTGCTTTTGACACCATCCATCGCAAAGTTTGGATCTTTTGCCTAGCCATTTGGGATTAGCATAGATCCAAGATATTTGAAACCGAGTATTTATTCAACCGATGAATTGATAAAAATAGGTAATTTATTAGCTTTTTGTATATGAGACGAAAAGATTTTCATTTTCATAACTGTCAACAAAAAGGACTATATGATCGGCATATTCAAGAACGTGATAATATGCTCTGGACTGTTTTATACACCTATATCTTTTCAGTTTTCTTAAGAGCCCTCATCATCAGTGGTTAGACTCGGCTGGCTTGTCGCACTAGATAAATATGCCAGAGAGTCTTTTGGCGATAGAAATACAGATTTTCAGCATCACCCGGATTTTTAGACAGATTTATTCTTGCTAGGGCAGCATAACTCCAGCATCAGCGCTCTCTGAAGCAACAGCCCACTAAGCCATTCCACACCGACAAGCGATGTCCATTATCCAGTCTACCGCACTGTCGAGGAAAGGATGCAGTCTTGATGGACATCAATTTTTACCTCAAAAGAATCTACCAATTCCCCATGTACACAGACCTGTTCCCACGTATGCTGATAAAATGCTTTTATGAATGGTCTTCTGATCTTGATCTTCTCTGGAACCGTCGCGTTCCATCACTCTCCAAAGTGTTTTTCTATCAATTAAATTGAAGGCAGCTGCAAAATCTGTGAAACAAGTCGGTTGCTGATATTTGAAGCGATATTCCAACTCCTTTCTTAACACGAATATTTGGTCAGCACAACCACATCCATCCCTGTATTTGGTCAGCACAACCACATCCATCCCTGTCTAAAATTTGGTTAGGGCTTATCATGATGTCATGTGCTACCATAAATCTATTGAGTAGAAGAGAAGCAAAAATTTTCCCGGAGATATCTAGAAGGTTGATTATTCCTCGATAATTGTCATAATATGTCTAGCACCTTTCTTAGGAATTGGGATTCCATACCAAGATTACATCTAATATTGAAGATTACATGTAATATGAAGGATGATGACATTTGAAAAATTCGGCCCAAAGTCTTCTATGATTTTATTGGGATGTGGAATGGCTTAGTGGACTGTTGCATACGGATAACAGAGATTAATCCCTCTTACACTGGTTCGCAGTTCCAAACGTCTTGACCAGCGAATTACCTATATCCTGGGCTAGAAATGGCGTACTATGGTAAATTTAGCCTCAAAGAATTCCTACCTTATGAGTCGATTCTTTATAGGTGCACAATTGTTATCTCATATTATTCTATTGATCGCTTCCTGAGTCATAGTTACTTTGTGAAGAAAGCAGAATAGCTCCCTATCACCACCTAATCGAGCTGCCATCTCCATTCTCAAGACCATCATTATAATTTATCGAAGCATCCCAATAGCCAGGATCTTCTGATATTCATGCTTTGGCAGCCTTTTCAGACAGTTTGCTTGTTACCCAACGCATTTTTTAATATCCTAGCATAGAGTGGCTGACTTTCGTAGATTTCTATGTTAATTGGGATCACTGTTTATCCGCCGTTTCCATTGATATTGATTTTATTGAAGTGCTTCAAGTAATTCAGGTTTAAAATAAATATCTATTGTACCCAAATTTCTTAGTTTGAAGTGGTTGAAAGATCTTGGAAAGATGTTTTTTCTCGAGAGATTTTGCAGATTTTGTCAATTTTGTAGACCAGACCTTGACTCGGACCATAACACTGTCCATGAAGATAGCCCGTTTCAACAACCCCGATTAGAACAAGTATCTAATACGGAACTCTTCCAACGGCGAATAATTAAAATATAATCAATCATTGGAATGTTGGTTATCGCTGGAGAATTCCAGATAATTAGATGTCTTCTCTAATGCTATATATTAGTAACAAAAAGTTTGGTAATTGAAGAAGGAATTCCCCACTAGCGCAGAGAATCCCGATGCCATGGTCGCTAATTATCGAATTCATCGTGGCGGTATCGCGACCAACATGCGCATTCCAATCTCCTTTATTACGATCATCGATAGCGATATTGTTGTTTCGCATAAAACTTACCACGATCACTTACGCATAAAAATTAGAACATACTTTTGATGATCGATTTAGAAATATTGCAGAACTTTCTTTTAAAACCAGCAGAAACCACATTCTGGCTTCCATTCCATCGGAATGGACCAAGCTTTTTGAGAAGGTTTAGTAATTACTCGAGACGTAAAGTAAGGAACAGCCCATCAAGCCATTCCACATTCCAATAAAATTCTCGGAGAAAACTTTGGACCGAATTTTTCAAATGTTCATCAGGCAACATAAACAGGAAACACGGTATTTAGACAGAATGTGGAAAATGATCGCTTTTCTTGCAATGTCCATAAACGTTCTGTCATTCCAATACTATGGCAACAACTCTCTGAGTGTACAAAATGCCAACGGACAGAGTTTCTCATTTCTCTTGATAGATTCCGATAATTACCCTGGCCTATCTTATTCTTAAGCCTTGGGGTCATTTTATTATGCCCCGATTGTATACTCGCACATACAACCAAGCTGGAAATATGTATCATGCGCATCGGAAGAAATGGTTTCATCTACTATGTAAATAAAATTTTACTTCAAGGCAATTAAATGATAAGTTCTTTATTTTTTTTATATTTTACAGCTTCTCTATCTTATTGTAAGTAAGTTTACTATATTTCTTTAAGACGGATTTCCTTGCTTCCATTGTTTGGTATGATACATACCAGTAGTTATAATGACCATTCTTAAGAATTTCTTTGCGATGCAACTCTTGCAACTTATGAATGATGATTGAATTGGAAGATATTTATGATATTAAAACTTACCCTTGAAAAGAGCACGCGCACCACATTGATAATGAGGATCCCGAAAATCCGATAGCCAATAATTACCTGAATGACAAGAAGAGGCTCTGCAAAAAAATGTTATATAACATTTTGCCAAGGCACTTTAAGCCTCACACAAAACTTATTTAGCTTCAATAAAAATTCACCTTAAGGATGGAAAATTTTATAAATATTCCGATCATAATTAATTAAAATTTAAAGAAACATCTATTAGCCTTTAAATTTAAAGCATTCATTAGTCTTTTTATTATAAATGATATGAAAAAGAATGGATATATTCTGAAAAAAGTGCGAAAGTGCGTAATCTCGGCCTGTAGAGTTGAAAATCCCTCGATAAACTCCAAAAACTATTATGTTTTTATGAAAAATCTCCAACTCCTTAAAATGTTCTCTTAATTCCCTTGGTGCTCGCTAAATTCTTGCTATAATTTTCTCTTGCTATTATTTTATCGTAACGTCATGATGGTCATAAACATAATCATGATGACCATATTTTCTTATTTCCCATTTTGCTTCTTTGCTTTTTTATCTCATCAGACCCAGTTGTAGGCTCTCCTCAGCACGTTCCATCTCCACTATATTCCTCTAACGCACCATTAAACGTAGTAAGTGACTACAGTTATCCGGTTCTTTCATGATTTTTTAATCACTGAATATAATATGTATGATATATATATATATATATATATATATAAAATATATGATATACTTGAAGTAGTTTGGGGATCCTCGCTGATGCCAAAGTTTGTTCAAGTGGTTAATAACAATCTTGTTAACTTGTTCCGGAGGCATATTAGGCACAATACGTATACTAAACTTTCCTATTACTTTTGCAGGAATCACTGTTTTTGCGCCAAACCCACTAAATGCCCCTTCGATACCTAAAAATTAAAGAGGAAGGATAGAAATTATATAATAAAAAGAGCCTTTCACCTTTTCATTTAATTTAAATTTGTCTAGGTTCCTGATGATTCCTTGAAAAAGATTTTCTATCAAGGATCGGAATGAATGAATGAATAAAATTTTGGAGAAAAGTTTTCTTTAATAATTCTCTAAATGAAAAATGAGATATAATTTATTGAAATAAAATTATGGAAAATAAAATTAATTATATACCGTGAATTGAAAGTGATGGAAATCGCCATCTATTCATTAGAATACCCTCTTTGTCATTCTTTATTAATTTTGACGCACCAATCTCATTTCGATACTGTTCCTATAAATTATGAAAGATAAAACTGAAAAGAAAATTTAAAAAAATATAAAGTAAATATATAAAGATGGATTAACTTTTCTCAACACCCTCAATATTTGAAAGGAAAATTATCCATAAAATATAAAATATCACACAAATAAAATGGATATTGAAATAACAAAATCAATTAAGAGGATTTACCCTAATTTAACAAAAAATGCGGAAATATGAGAGAGGAAGAAAGCTGACCACATCAAAATCTATTTTATGATAAAGTTCAATTTCTTCATCTGTAATGGGGGCTACCAGTTCATTTAATCCATCGATTTTAATATTTCCATGGAGGTCTGTGAGTTGACTCAAAACCCATATAAGATCGGCCATTGATTCATAACTAAAACAAAAAAAATCATGGTACTATGTTAAATACTGAGAATTTAGAAAAGTAATATGGGAAAGTTATGGAAAAATGCTAGTGCAATTAAGAACCAACACAGATCCGCCATAGACGCCAGAATGCAAATCTTGTTTAGCACCACAGATTTCGATGAAAAAATAGCAAACTCCTCTGGAAATATTCAATTTAATTTCTTTCTAATCCACTTTTTCTATTTTCTATTTTAATGAAATTAAAAATATTAAAAATAAAAAATATTAAAAATTTTTAAATTTCTATTTCTTCCATATTAATTAATTGCTGTTTTGAATGAAATTAATGAGAATAAAATAAAAAATCGTTAAATATTTGCCTCAGGCCATAAGTTAAACAAGGCTTCTTTTTACCAAGCCATTCACTATCCGATATACAAGTAAAGTCAACGTCAGCCAAAAATGTATCTTTTTTAGCTTTTAATGCTTCTTCGAGCCCTTCAGAACCACTTTCCTCCATTGCTTCGAAACAAAACTGAAAATTCAAATAATAAAGCGTTTCATCATAAAATGCCTTTAAATTATTAAAATAATTATGATAATTTAAAATAATCAACAGTAAAATAATTTTAAAACTACCTTGATATTTACTGGAATATCTATTTTATTATTCTGGAGTGTTTCAATAGCATTAATCCAACCAACAACAGGTCCTTTATCATCGCTTGAACCACGGCCAAATAATTTCCCATCCTTCATAAAATTATAACCTTTACTATTATTGTTGCTATTATTATTACTATTACTATTATTAAATTAAAGTATTAAAATAATTAAATTAAAGTATTAAAAGTATTAAAGTATTAAAAGTATTTAAATAGTTTGATATTTTGTTTTCATTAAGGTAATATTGTGACGAAAAAGCAAGACACTGAGAAAAAAGGATTATGAACTCTGCCGTCTACCCTAACTCGGCTGCGCAAATCCCATCTATCTTTCCCCTTACTTTCTAATCTTTTATCTTTCGGTGCAGGTAAGCAAAGAGTATCGTGAATCTTTATAAAATTTAAATAACAAATAATGATAGCGAAATGAACAATTTTTTTATACTCATAAAGGTACTTGTAACTCTCATAAAGGTAAAATAAAATGGAAATTTACTTTTTCAACTAACGTAAATGGTTCGGTTTGCCAACCATCTCCTTTACTAGCCGGCTGTACATCTAAATGACCATATATGAGTACAGTTTTTTTTGATTTATCAGCTCCAAGAACACCAAACAATATTGGAGGAAGATCGATTTCTGTACCGTTAGGCAATTGCTGCTTACCAATATTGAACAGTTCGACTTTAACACCCAATCGTTCCAAATGCTTAAATTTTTTTCTGAATTTTATACGAAAAATTTTTTGAAAGAAATTATGATTAACAAACTCAAGTATTCGAGATGTGCTTCGATCATTAAATGGCTCTTTAGCGAAAACTTCACAGCTAGCATTCCACCAGAAATGGTGAGTGCCATTTTTTTACGAAATTGAAATTTTTGAAATGTTTTTCAATGATAAAATAAATAAATAAACAAATTAAGTAATTTCCGTTTTAGAAAATGTTTTGTGGAAATCATTGAAAATATGAACTATTGTAAAAGTATTGGACTACTGTAACCATTATTATTACATTTTTTGTCCATTCAATCATTTTTACAACATTTTTTCGATTTTGTGGCTCAGCTGATACACTTGGAATTGAAATGGCTTCACGCAGACGCTCAATGAATTTTTTTGAATTTGCATCAACATCCCTAAAATTGGATCAAACTTCCTTTATTCCACAATTCATTAATTATTATCATTAAAATCCTAGAGACATCGAAATATTGGTTCAGTTATAATATCAACAAGTTAGAATGAAACTCTTTGAATTCGAAAGATGGTACTGAATATGAGTCACTTGTAAACATTTGATCCACAATAAGATGATTAAAGAGGTTCTATGCAAATATTTTCTCTTAATCCTTTTTTCCTTTTCTCATTCCAACTTTTTTATTTATACTACTGAGGTACTGAGTTACTTCCTCATTCCACTTCCTTACCATTAATGTTCCATTAATATAGAGCTTCTGTGAAAAATGTATTCTTACTGTGTATACTGTGTATTCTTTTAAGCGTTGGCTAGAAAATCCATTGGTCTCAACTGATTAATTGATTATTTTATCTTTCTCAACTTTTAACGCAAATTTTCGATATTTAGAGCAGAAAAGTATGAAAACCAGATGAAAAAAAAACATACTTAGCAAATTTTATATAATCAGCCATATTTGATGAAGACTGCTTATCGAAGGCTGCTTCTGCTCTTCTACTGAATAAAAATAATTAATTAAAAAAAAAATTGACAAAAAATGCTAAAAATCGCATAAAATCTCAATTTTCAATGATAAAAATTTGAATTAAAGAATAAAAATATATTCCAATAATTATTACTATTTTATTACCATTATTGCTATTTATTATTTACTATTATTATTATTACTAATTGTTATAATTATCACTTATTATTACCATCATTATTATTATTAGTACTATTATTAACATTACTTTCACATATTAGAATTTATTCTACCACCACTTCTCTTTTTTAAATATTTACAAGTAAATTTTATAAAAAACGCAAAAATATCGATTAGAAAATAGAAATTTCACACAACCAATCTACTTAAATAATTTCGAAATCTTTCTTTTTCTATCAGTTTTAGTTTTTCTCAATCGTTTAAGATACGAAATAATGATAATGCGATGACTGATAAGCGAAACCTTCTCCACTATCAACTGCTTATAGTTTACACTTTCTACAGTAATCGATAAGGACCCGAATTCTACTGGAAAAAAGCCATGAATTTGAAGCGACACGACATTTGCATAAGTCTGGCTTGCGACACATCCACCCCTTACCTCGGACACCGTCGCATATGACCTCACCCCACGCACTCAAAAATCGTCCACTTGAAAAATCAACAGAACTGTCAACAGCTGCAAAACCCCTCGCATATTTCGAAGACTAAAAGGAACTCCCCGCTTTTGTGCATTCCTCTGTTGCATTATTAACGATAAACGATGCACTGCGCAACAGAACTGCAAAACCAATCAGCTAATACCCAACAATTAATTAGTCTGCTATTGCTATTTAGAAAACGATTCTTTCATTTAAAATATACCTGTTCGCTCGGTTATGCCCGTTTGCTTCTCTGTTTACGCTTATTTTTGGATATTCTTACATTTGTATTTTACATATATTACATTTGTAAACATATATACTTACTTCCTTACTTACTAATTCAACAAAATGCATTCATTGTTAAACAAAAAAAGAGAGCCAAACTACGCATTCATTTGGAATTAAACCACCAAGAAACAACTAAAATATATTTGACAAAATGAAAAAAATATAAATGCATCTGATCAAACGAAATAAACAGTAGAAAAAAATACCTGAAAAAGTTAAAAGTTAAAAGTTAGAATATTATTACTATTTTCCGGGGAGAAAACCAGTTCGTGCAAAAAATTTCTCTACTCAACTCAAACCGTCGATTATCAATAGCAATAGTTATAGTGATGATTTTGAAGAATTTAATCACTCCAACCTAATTCTCTTTTATGTGCAGATTTAAAAAGATAAATTTGACGCAGCGCAAACAACTTCGACATCAATTAACAAAAATTTGCGGAACATTTAACTTCATAATTCAAAAAAAGTGGAAAATTTTCTAATTATTTCATAATTATTTCATGCATTTTAATAAAAAAAATAAATCGCATAAATGTAAATTTAAAAAAGAACAAAATTTACCAAATGAAAAATTCGTTTTAATACAATCAAAAATTACTGGCTATGATGAACAGTTCTTAGAAAAAGAACGTTAACTTAGCAAAAACAAAAAAATTCAATTTTAATTCGTTCTTTCAAAATTCAAAATTCAAAAAATGTGAAAATAAATCTCAATCTACTACTGCATAACGAAAAACAACTTGAATTCAATATTGAGTGGTAAATAAACAATGATGAAAGGTGAAAATAATAAACAATTAAACATTCCAAAATTTTTATACCGAAGGTGAAATATTTTCTTTTGAAAATTTTGAAAATTCGACATGATTAAGAACATGATAAATTCATGAGTCACATCAAAAATACATCAAAATTAAATAAATTACAAAAGAAAATAATTTTTCTATATCGATGCCTATTCTATTTACGAATTTTATATGTCCAATCTTTTTTTTAATTACTCACAAATTTAAAAAATCCATACGTATATGGTACAATAAAAGTGGTGAAACAAATGAAAAACTTCTACAGCTTATCAATAACTTCGTGACTCGAATAAAGAAAGTAGGCTGCAAGTTTCTTCTCGTGAAAAAGCATTTGAGTAAAGCTGAATATCCTATAACTTTTTAAACCTAAAAATGAAACAATATTTATCACAGTTTCCATTAAATGAAAATTTCCAGTTGTAATATTTATAAAATGATTTCGAAATTTTTTTTATAAGTTAGATTGTGGATAATGAATAGTAGTTTTGTATATGTCGAGTTGTTTTAAATGCACTTTTGGTCGAAAATTCCAGTTGGACCATATATATGTGTAGAAAACACCAATAATCCACATCAACCACTTTTGTTTCTGTGTCTTCCTCCTAAGGAATCCAAAATTAATAAAAGAATTTCTCTTAAATATTGTAACTTTATCGAAAATTTGAAATGAAATATCTAAAACCACAATATTAGGTAGTTAAGCAATCACTTTTTTCCACTGTTCTCTCATCTAGAATCTATTTTTTGAATTCCTTTTTTGTAGAGGCTTGTGCCCATGGACTCGAAATATTCTTCAAGGGTATTTTTTGCATCTTCAAAAGAATTTTTTCAGCTAAATGTTTGAGAGACCTGAACAAATGATAATCATAAAATGTGAAGTAAAACTTCCCAGACCATTTCTTTAATTTATGGGGCATATTTTTTTGAATGAGGACTTTTATCATTGTAATACAGGGGGATTGCATTTTGTTGGCTTTTAAAAGCAGTTTCTATGAAGTTTTTAAAGAAGATTGAGATGTTTGCAGCGGATATCAAAGATGACCAGTCAGGAGTTTGACCAGCTTAGAACAAATCATAACGAGTTTTTTATTTCTTTTATTTCTCACCACATATAGCACCTTTAAGATTTGATTGTTGGATTTGACAGTTTCTATAGCATTTACGACTAGAATTCCGTACATTATTCATTTTTCATCACTAGCAACAATTCTATGAAGATGATTCAATGATTCCTAAATTCCTAAATATGTTTCTTTTCTGGTCTAGAAAACAGCAAAGCATATATCCACAATTACCGAAGCGTATGTAAGTTGATGCTGAACCCAATCAACCTTTAAATATGACAGAATATGGCCCATAAAAAATAAAATTTGTATTGTAAAATTTTGAAATTAATTTAAACCATGCAGCGCAAAAAAGTCATTTTTTGAAGATTTGTCAATTTTCGGACGTCCTGAATAAAAATAAAAATAAGAATAAAAGTTGAGGATAAAAATTTTGAATTTCGAAATTTCGAAGGCCATTTTTGATATTTCCTCATATCCACTACTTTAGTATATATTTTAATACATTTATTTGTTCTTGCCGTTCCACTATTTACTCGATATAATACTCGACAAATGAAATATGGAATGTGGTAAAATATTCCTCAGGTCTTCATTATTTCACGTTCATTACTGCACCACTGGACAAATTTTCACTAAACTCAACTCAACTAAGCACCTATTGTATAAAAATAACTATTATGTAAACATTATGGGTCACCTTTAATTACCTGCGATTATTACTTTTATCAGATAAAACCAATTCATTGAAAATTGACCTTAGATGTCAAAATTTTTTGAGAAAACCTATTATTTTATTTCCAATTGATGCCACCGAAAAATTTATTTTAAAAATTTGTTCTGTAAAAAAACTTCGAAGATAACACTGGGACTATTCAAATTATTTTACTAATAAGGTAATACAAAAAATTCAAAAAAAATCATAAGGAATAAGAAAACGCACCTGGCGAAAAGACGAATGGCTGACCACCAAAAAATTGCACTGAAAAGTGTTGAATACATTTTCAACCTGAAAAATGATATTTAACACGAAATTCTAAAACTAAAAGATGGTGTTGCTTCAAAAGCTAGATTAAAAATAAGAATAACCTTTAAATTGATTTTTTAATATAAAAAGTATCAAATCTGCTTCCATTCGTTTTAATAATTAGTAACAACTAGATACTCGAATATGAAAAAATATTAACCGAATAAGATTCCCTCTGGCTCTCGGTAATTCTTCCAAATTTTCTCCAAGAATATACCTTTTAATACCCATCAAATAATCGAAAAGATAAGAATCCCAGTCTATCTGCCTTACATCGAAATTAAATACCTTGAATTAAATACAAAAAAATATCTCAGTTTAATATGATATTGATGAATATTTCGTTTCGTTTTTTTAAGATAAAACTGTTCATCTAATATATATTAATTAACATTAATTTAGAAAAGTTCACCAGAGAAAGAAATATATAAGATATATATAAAAATATATATAAAATATATATATATATACTTGTTTATCATCATCTGATATCGAGTTCCATATTTCCAGGAGTCCATTTGTTTCGAAATTCCATCCACGAGTAGTAAAATAATGTAAAGTTTCAACCATCCTCCATACTTTACCATACATTCGAGTGAATCTGAAAATAAAACCAGTTCTATAAAATAAAAAATTAATAGGTAAGTAATAAAAAATAAAATATGGAATTATAAATGATAAATCATCAATGAATTTCTAAAAATCTACTTCTTCTTTCGTCCTGTAAGAACACAGAAGAAATCAATTATATAAGCCGGTCCCATATGTTTCAAATAAAAATTAAGCAGAAAAAGTAATCGTGAAGAATGAAAATGAGTAGATGGGACTCGGTAACATTGATCTAAAGGATATTCGCGAAAAAAACATTGCAGAAAATTAACGATATGATCCCAGTGAATTGGATTTAGAGTTCCAGAGCAGCAATGCACAACTGGTATTTTTTCACATCTAAATTATCTAAACTGATTTAAAAAAATTAATAATGAAATCATACGCTGTTTTTCTGACTTCACTATTCTTGATGGAAAAATGAAGGAACAGCAATGAATACAGCAATGAGTATTACAATATCCTAATATTGCTATAAATCATAATAACGTTCTAAACTATTTTAAAAGAATTTAATATACCATTGTCAACGTACTTAAGATTTAATCTGTATGATGCTGCAACAATTATCAAATTGGAAACAATATCAACAGGAATAATATCGGCTTTTGATGAATTACTGCCACACATATTTGTCAAAACTCCTTTCCCACACTAAAAAATATCAATTTTAGTGAAAAAATTAATTTAGAAAAAGCTGTTTCGGATTGTTCCAAAAGATTTTATAAAAAATTTAAATAAAGATAAATTAAATGAATCTTTTCACATAATCAGTAAAATAAATAAATTTTGAATGACAACGAATCGAAACGATCAAATTCAAAAAAAATTTAATAAATAAATAAATAAACAAATAAAATTTAATAAACAAACAAATAAACAAATAAAAATAAATTTAAACCGCTGCAAATATTCCAGTTGGTCCATTTATATTATCGGTCCAACCTGGTAATGGATCTCGCCACATAGCGCCTATTATTGAAGGTCTGACAATTATGACGGGTAACTGAAGAGCATCTTCCGCTAACTGTACCTAAAATGTAGCAGAAATCTTTTCATGAAATCAATAAAGTAAAAGAATTTCAAAAATGCTTCTTATTATTTTCCTATTTTCCAATTTAAAATTTAAATTTTAAATCCAATATTAATTTTAATTTTAAACTCTAAATTCAACATCGAATTTACCTTTCAATGTCCAACTATATATTCAAAAATAATAATGAAAATAAAATAATAAAATTTTTTTATATCTAAGGAAAAGAAATTAAGAAAAAATTTACCTCTGCTAAAGCCTTTGTCAGTGTATAAGTATTCGGTCGATTTCCTAGCAAAAATGGCGTCATTGCATTAATCATATGATCATCCATCCAATCAATCGCTTCAAAAAGTTTAGTTGGTGGTACAGGTGGTGGATATATCTGTTCAAATAATGAAGATTTATCACAATTTGCATAAGCTGTGCTAACATGAACCAGAACCTATAATACATTTTAGATTAATTTTAAAAAGAAAAATCTCTTTGGTAAAACTAACCTAAATAAATTATTTTTGAGACATAAATATGCATAAAACTTTCTCTTATTTTAAATGAACCAAGATTACATTATATTACAAAATTTCCACAAAACTTACGCTAAGATTTCTTATCATATGGCATAGCGCAATTAATCGTTGAGTACCCAAAACGTTCATTTCGATTGACAGTCGAAGTGCTTCATCAAATTTCACCGTAGCTGCACAGTGAAATACTGCAATAAATGCAAAAAAAATACTTAATATAAGGTATTTTTGCTGTTAAAAATTTTATTCATTTACAATGATTGAAGCACGAATGTCAGGAGATCTTGATTTCGAAGAATTACAACAGCAGCACTGCGGTACACAAATAGCTATTGGAGCTTTGAGAATGGATATGGTGATAATAGGAAACTATTCCGCCTTCTTCATAAAGCAACTATAACTCGGGGAACGATCAGTGAAATGGTCAAAGGGATAACCAGTTAAGAGTATTAAAGACCTCCTCATAAGATGGAAAGAATTCTTTAAGGCCAAACTTAGCCATGAAGCGCCATCTGTTGCCCCTGATATAGCTAATACGTTCGCCGAACTATACGCTGGCAACTGCGAGCCTCCAACAGAAGAAATAACCTCCGTTATCCAATAAGGGATGAAGATGTTTGAACTCTTTAAATGTTGTCCATCGTCCTTCATAACACATCTTCAACAAACTTTCTACTATGGAAAAAAAAATTAACAAATGATTGAAGCAAAGTAATTTTCATCCTAATTTTCAAGAAAGATGGTAGGACATACTGTGATTATCGAGGAATCACCCTACTAGATATCTTTGGAAAATCTTTTTTGAAATAAGAACTGGTGTCCGTCAAGGTAGTGCTTTCCCCTACGACATTCAATGGTAGACTGGATTATGGATACCGCTTGTCGGTACTCAAGAGGTATCCAAATAAGTCCAGAGGATCGTATCAGATCCCGAATACACTGATGATGTAGTCCTTTTTGTTGTCAACTACGACGAAATGCAAATAATGCTAAATATCGTACCAGCAACTGCAGCGAGAAATAGCTACATCGGACTCAATGTTAATGTACATAAATGGAATCTTTTCGTCATATATACAAGAAGCTGATAAAATACCTCTTTTTCTTTTTACTCATTGTCGGTTGAAGTAATGCCCGATTTTAAATACACTGGATCCGCCCTAATCCCAAATGGCCCGGTAAAGGATGAAACTGTAACCCGGATAACGGCTAGAGATGCATTTTTCCGTTCGATGAAATCTTTATGACCTGTCGTGAAATCACCATAAAAACGAAAGTCCGTATAGCCGCGATCCGTTCAATCTTGCTATATGGCTCCGAGACATGGCCAATGAGAGTGGAGAATATTAAGAAATTATCTGCTTATCTGCTTTTGACCACTCTTTCTAACGTACATTTAACGGGTCCTTCAAGAGGACAAATTATCACATGATCGAACCCACCTTTCTTCAAATACCACTTGAGTTAATAATGTTATCACAGAGCGTCGCCTTTGCTGGTTAGGATACGTTCTCGGTCGTCCTATCCAGGAGTTGATGAATAATTCGTTATATGCTAAACTCTGTAATTGGTGGCATCAAAAGCGAGGTGGGCCAATCAAGACCTAGATTGAAATGGTCAGAAAAGATTTTGAACGTATTGGTCGACCAGCAGTATATGGACTTAGAGATGGAAAAAAGAATGGCTTTTATTATTACTAGCGATGGTATCAGACCTCGATGCTTGGAAACGTCTTACCCTTTTAGCTCTTGAAGCCAGCTTAACCAACAAAGGTGAGAGATGTTAGAAGAAAACTGATTAAAAATACAATTCCAACAAAAATATATTTAATAAAAAATTTAAAAGCTAAACATACCTATGTTAACTTCATCGTAAATTGTTTGTTTATCGAGCTGATTCAAACCTAATCCTTCTTCTAAAAGATTTCCAGTGACTGGCACTAACTTTGAAAAGACCGAAGGGCTCTGTGCCCAGAGACGACTGAATAAAGGTCCCTTCAAAAATTTTATCTATAATGCCAGTGGTTCTTATAGGGTATATACATCTCTAACAGAATCAGATATCGTACCTGAGTGTATTATTTTACTTCTACAGGTGCGCCATAGTTCTTTCAACTCATCAATTCTAAATAGACTAGCACAGGAATTATCGCAGACTTCGCCGCAAATTTATCAACAAAAAGTTAAGTGACCGTAAGTTCTGTGCTTTATATGCAAACTGAACCACAAAAGTTTCTCTTACACTGTCGGTTTAGAAGCCTTATATGAAAAACTATTGTATTTGCTATATATAGTATCAAAGTTTTCCAAATTTTTCAACAAATTATCGCCGACATTAAACCAAACTAACATTCAATGCAACATAAAATAAGTATCGTTCCCTTTTCTACAATATTTTCTACATATAGTATGCTATACTGTTAAATGAATAATCTATAATATGATTAAACCTCCGAGTTACAGTAAATAACCAAGTTCAGTTATAAATTTTGTACTTTTGACGAAAAATTAAAATTTTTTAAAAATCCCCTATAAACGAATGAGTCATTTATTGTGCATATAAATTTACATTTTTATCAATGTGATAAAAAATCATCATAAAGACATCAACTGATGAACGTGAATTATATTTCTATATATTAAAATATTTACCACAATCTGTGCGATGATAAGTTTAATGGATAATTGATAAAAAATACAATAATAAATCAAACACACTAATAAAAAACGGAATATGATTTCAAAAAAACCGAGGAAAGCAAAAAAAAGGATAAGAACCAATGCAAAATGCGTTCCATATTAAGTATTTTAAGTAAAATTAAATATTTTAAGTATTTTGTTGGCCAATTTTGTAAATAAAATTTCTTTTTAATCGTTCTATATCAAGAATTTCATTTTCCTCCTAGGAACTTCTCTAAGAACAATAAAAAAAATAAAATTTCGAATTGCCACCCCGTGCCTCTTCCTATAAAAAAAATTTACTTCGATAATTTTCAACTGCAACATATTGATAATTTGATTACTTCTGATATTGATATTGCAAGCATATTTAATTAATACTTTTCTAATGTATTTGTTGAGGATAATACTCATATTTCTTATTTTAACGTAAATAGAATTTGTTGCACTTCTCTCGGTGAGGTTGAAATAACACTACTGGATGTTTATGATGCCTTAAATAGACTTAAGCCGTTCATTTCAGCTGATCCCGATAATATTCCACAAATGATTTATAAAAAATATGCAATTTCACTGAGTTTTTCCCTATTTTTAATTTATAAGGACATTATGAAATCTGGCCTTCATTCCAGAATTTGGAAGTTGTCTCATAATTCCCATTCATAAAAAAGGAAGCACCTATGACCTTCTAATTAATAATTGATTAAGGCCTATTAGATTAACATGTGTTGGTAGCAAGGTACTCGAAAAGTTGATTTGCAACAAATTGGTTACTTATCTTGATGCCAATAATTTTATATCCCCTTATAAGCATGGCTTTTGTAAAAAAAAATCTACTTCTTCACAAATATTGGCTAATCTTTCGATTGGCCAGCATCAGCTGACAATGGAAAAACAGTATCAGTTGTGTATCTAGATTTGGCTAAAGCTTTTGATACTGTTTCCCATAGCAAATTATTGATCACTCATAATAGTTACGGTATTACAGCTGCCCTTTATGACTGGGTGTCAGATTACATAAAAGATTGTCACCAAGCCGTACGAGTCAATAACACTCTCTCTGACACAAACATCTGTTAAATCTGGTGCTCCCCAAATTGCGCTATTGCTTTTTCTATTATATATAAATGATATCACCAATGTGATACTAAATTCTATTATTTATCTTTATGCTGATGATTGTTAAATTTATTATTCTCATGGCAGAACAGATAGCCTATCTCCACTGCAGGAGGACCTCAACAGAATAGCTGACTGGCTATACGACAGGCAAATTACCCTTTCCTTCCAAAAATGTAGCGTTCTTCACATCAACTCTAAAGGATTTGATCTTCCTAACCTTTTTATAAATGGTAATTTAATCAATAGAGTCTCACACATCTCCGATCTTGGAATAATCATGGATGAAATCTCGATTTGGACCTTCACTGCAGAACCATGGTAAAGAAATCTAAGATACTAAATTAAAGATACTAATTTTATTTTTCATTTGTTTAAGAACAAAACTTATGATTTTATTATCAAAATGTCCAAAGCGTTCGGCCACTTCTTGACTATAATACTACATAATACTCCCCGAGATATCATAAATCAAGTAAAATAATTGAAGGACTCCAAAAATATTTTATATGACGCCTCTCTCCTAATTGCATTCGATTATAAAAGAAAACTTTGCAATACAACCTGGATTCTCTGTCAGTTCGTCGTATTAAACTGGATTTAATTTATACTTGTAAGATTCTGTATGGTTATGTTAAACTAGACTGTTCAAAATATAATTTTAAGTTAAATTTAAATCCAACAAAAACTAATGGGCAAAAATTACTAAAATCTATGTGTAATACTAAATTAAGGACTCATGACTTCTTTTAATATTAATTACTGGAATAAACCACCGAACGATATGGCTTGTGCGCCATCCCTATTTACCTTTAAAAAAAGGATTAAAATGCTAAAAAAAGATTAGATAATATCATTTATGATATTTAAAAAGTTCACATCATGCAGGAAGTGTGAAATGGCGATTTTTTGCATTTAATTATTTCGAATTGTACTATATTATATATTTGTATACTATTATATAATTATTATATATTTATTTCGTAATTTCCTTTTTATTTCAACTTAAATTGCTAATTATATTTTATCTTATTTTTTGTTTTTGTTATTATTACTTTATTTTAACTGTTGTTATTAATACAAGCACATGGCGTTTGCACCCTGCTTGGCTGGTTTTCAATAAATAAATATACGAAACTAACTTTAATAATTTTATCGAGTCGTTGTCTAGCTGATATTTCATTTTGAGGTCGAATAAGTAAATAGATACTCTTAACTTCAGGAATCGAATATAACAATTTTTCAATGAGCACTTTCCCAAGAAAACCACTTGCACCTGTTACCAGAATACTTCTTCCAGCGAACGCATCAGCTACCCGCCCATTTACTTCCATTTTACCCTTTGCGAAATATTTATAAATAATTAAATAATGTTTAAAAAACTTCGAGAACGATTTAAAATTAAGATCCATTAAGACTTGTAAGATTATTTAAATTGTTTCTAAAACAAAAGCGAAATAAATTGAAGCGTTTTCATACGCTTTTTCAAAAACGATTTATAAGATCGAAATTTACTTAATAAAAATCCAAATTTACCAAATGAGCAACAATTAATAATAAATATTATAAAGAAATGTTTTAGATAATCAAAATTTATAAATTAGAAAAAAATTACAATGGAAAAAAAAAACATAATGCTGCAGTAAATTCAGCAAGTAGTATTCTTATTTTGTTAAATCAAGACTGTCTTCCATTTGTTTTTCCACAGGCAACTAAACAACCAATCATTTTATGTAAAAGCGTGTAATTAAACAGAAAATAAAGAAATATTAAAATTAAAACAATATCAATGAACCAAAATGAATCAAATCAAAAATCAATAAATTAACGGAAAAGAAAAGGTAAACGAATGGAACTTATACAATTTAAAAGATTGTAAACCAGTTTTAGCAATGTTAACTAAATCGATGACTCATGATAATCCTGCAAAATGATTCTTTAATAAATCAACTGTGGTGAAAACCGATTGTGACCTAATACTTAATAAAATAACTTGTAAAAGATAATACCACCTCGTAATCTATTTTGAATAATAAAAAATGGAAAATAATTTACATATAATAAATGTAAAAAACCACTTTTCCTCTTAATTTTATCATTTTCATACTTAAATGCAAATTGAATTAAAAATTGCACGAAAGAAAGAAAAGGAAAAAATTATGCAAAATTAAAAGTTAGCAAAAAAAGCAAACTGATTAGTAAACAAATAATTTCTTAAATAAAATCCCCAAAAATATATATTTTAAAAGGAAAGGAATTCCATTAAAATTTAAATATAACTAAAAACCATTAGAATTAGTCGAAATCAGTCGAAAATCAATTTTTAAAAATTTTTTTGGAATAATCTGCAAAGCGAAAAAAACAACCTTAACAAGCAAAAATAAAAAAAAATAAAACCAGTTTTGGCAATAAATTAGCAAAGCACCGACCATAAGCGACCTTACAATAAGTATTACGATTCTCCAATTAAATTCCAAAAAACCTGTTCATAAAAAACAATAAACATTACAATAAATAAAAATTTGGAATCGACAACTGCTCATCGAATCACAATCAATAGAAAGAAATATTTAATAATAAATGAATGCTGATGAAATGTGGTGGCAAAGAACACTGATAAGAAAAAAATTAGCAAACAGTAATTTAATCATTACAGCCATTTTCCCCGCGACCTCTTAAAATCTATTTATAGTTTTTCCATACTTCCTTTGCCTTTTATTCTATTTATTCAAATAAGCCACTTTCATTTGTACAAAAAACAAAGGGCAACTGACATAATACCGCTCTGAAACAAGATAAAACAAGAGGAATAAAAACTGATATCTTGACTAAATTTTGGCTCCTCCTCCTAACAAGAGATAACAGTGAAAAAGCCACGGTAATGTGGTAATGTGGCCACCCACTTGTTCTTCCAAGAATTCCACGACAAAAATTTCTAACCATGCTAACGGCCAGCGGAGATAATCAGAGATGATGACGTTAACATTGGATTTTTTTTTTTTACATCATCATAACCAAACAGTCATTATATAAATAAAGCTAAAGATATGATGAACCATAAATTTCGTATTTTTCAATCATATTATTAATAAAAATTGAATATAACATAGTTTACAACTTCCATTTTATCCATTTATTAATTTAAATAAATGATTATGCGGTTCAATTAAATAGATTCCGACAAAATGAAAATATTAATTTGAAATGGCAAATTTAAATGTTTTATACAAACTGAGTTACCCCATTAGAATACCATCTTAAAAAATGATCAAATAAAACAAATATGAAAAGGAACCTTAAGTTCAATCATCATTTGGCACAACTTAATTTCTTTCTGCTTCATTTTCCACAAATGCAGCTGAAGTTGAAACTTCAACCGGAGAAGATATTTCCTCCATAAAAAGTTCACTTTCTAAATTCATATTTTTCGAGTGGTTTTCACCACTATTTTCACCACTAATATTACTACTTTCTGGTGATTCATAAACTGTAGCACCTAGAGATTGCTCCTGCATTATGAATGAATAAGGCGGTGGAGCAAAAACAGGTTCTTTAACTGCATCGCTATAAGAAGGTAATCTTGCCGAAGGATCATCCATTCTCGACCTGAATTAAATTATTTTAAGTTAAAAATTCACGATGAGATAGCGAAATTCGGAATTAGCTTACAAAAATGAAGTTAATCGAGAATTCGTCGGATGATGATCATTGTGATTGTGCACTGCATAAATACTGGGAGAAAGAAGAAGAGAAGGCCAACGAAACGGATAGTATTGAAGACGAGGAATATAGAATTGCTGGCCAGATTCACGCAGCCCATTACGGCGATGGCACATAGATCGTATTTTTAAGCAACAAGGTCCAACAAAAACAATTAGGCTAATAAGAGAGATAAAAAAGAACAGATATGAACTGCCGGAAGAAAGCTTTGGAGATGAAGAATTTAATAAACTCGAAAATGCTGAAAATTATAAAAATTTTAATTTTCATAAAATTTCAATTTTTATTTCTTTTTGATGATAATAAAATTTTTCCAGTATTTCTAAATGTAAGTCCATTTCATTTATTATTAACTTTGAAAAGATAAGTCAAAAATTAAAATATTTCCTTTATATAAAAATTATAAATTAAAATTATTCTACCTAAAATTATCGAATAAAGCTTATAAATTTCGATAATTTATTAATGATAAGAATAAGAACTTTTCAGATGATTTGACACAAAAATAAGCTGTTTAAATTTCACCATCTTTTTTTGGTTCTAGTTATGATCATAAATATAAATTTTGTTCATTTTTTGGTAAAAAAATCAAAATCATTCTTTTTTATTAAATTAATTCAAACAGTGATGATAGCTTCTTTAAAAAAATTATAAATTATATTTAAAATAAATTAAATGTAAAAATAAAAAATATATGACACACCAATTAATGCAATACTAAGCATTAGGAAAGCAATACAACACCATTTAAGTAACGCAAAACGATGTTTCAAAACGATTGATGTGGAACGAGCGCAAACTAATGGTGATACTGCTGATGTGCGAGCTGCTGATGTTAGATGACCACATTCACATAGAATATCTGCTCCAACTGTGCTATATTGAGAATGAAGAACTGCAAAAAAATGAAGAGCTCATTTTTTCCGGGAAATTTTCAAATTTAATTTATTTTTAAATTATTGTATGTATTATCATATATCAATTTGCCTTTAACAATTTAAATTTATTTAAATATTTTATTCTAATTATTTCATATTTTAGCGACAATAATTCCTGAAGTAATTCTTTGCTAATCGCTATTCTTTTCTTCTTACTTAAATTTTAAATAATTTTAAATTTAAAAAAAGTTGAGTTGACAAATGAATTTTATTAAAATTAGTTACCAGCTGCTCTATGTTCTTGTTCTTCATTTGCTGCACGCATAAGACGTGGTAACCACATGTTCTTCTATTAAAAAAACCACGCTCTTAGATCGGATCTTTCTTTAAGATAAATATCAGCAGTTAACTAAGAAGAAAAAGAAAGGGCTGAAGATATTTTAGGAAAAATTCTAAGAAATTCTAACTCCCACAACCTTAGAGTGGAATAATAAATAAAAATTATTAAGTGGTTTGCTTTACTGAGAAATTAATTTAATGTGAAATCCGACCGCACGCAAATAAAGCCATATACGGATTCATTCGGATTATATTATATTCGAACATATACGAAAAGAATGTAGATTCGAATACTCGTACTGAATTTCAGTCAGAGAATTCTAAGCGAATCGAAATAGGTCGGACTTTGAATTAAGTTTTGCACAAATTTTTTAAAACTGAATAAACTTAGAATATACGAATTATTACTAAACAATCCAAATTCAGTACAGCACAGCTGACGATGATTTATGATAGCCTGGTGAAAACCTTAAGGGTCTAAATAATGGTACCTCAATTCAACATATTTATATATATATATACATACGCTTGGACTATCTGTGGAAAAAGAAATGACTTCTATTGTGAGAATGAAACCACTCTTGTAGCAAGGCAAATACTCTTTCAAGCCTTCCTGGACTATTTCAACGCACGGCCGCTTGAGGAAACAGACGCACAGGCGGACCTTGAGGATCCGATTCGAAACACCAATCGCGAGCATGGTTCGCAGCAGCAGAGGCACGGAGCAACCTCCCACCGGGGTGGAACGCGAGTGCGCCGGCGAGCCGCCGACGCTTGCGCGCCCTCGGCGAAAGCTTTCCGCCGTCACTTTCACTCGAAACGAAACGGAAAACAAATTTCTGATTAATAATTCCATTTCCTGCGACTAATTTCAATTTTAATATGGAATTTGGCATTTTAAAATAAATGAAATTCGCAAACCTTTCCGCTAAATTCGAATGAAATTTCTGAATAAAAACATGAAACAAAGCAAAGCAAATCGACAATATTTTCGGTTAAAACTTAGCATCAAAAATCTTTGAACGAAACGAAACCGTTTTGTATAAGAAAATAATAGCTAAATACTTACGGCAAACAATCCGTTCGGGATCTAAAATTTTGAATTTTTGCTAATCTTAATAGCACAGCATAATTCTTAGTATTTTTATTTTTTGTGATTTGTGTTCATAGTTTAGTGGAAATCTTAACGGCCTGGAAATCGCTGCTGCAAATAGATTTCGCATACTAGGTTTGCTTTAGCTGGTCGTAGAAGCAACCAGAAGCAGTTTAAATATATTTTACTTGGCATATATCTGTTGAACGCGTTTATAATATTGTTGAGCGTAATAACTGAAGGCGAGTGAGTGAATGATAGCAAACGGGTTGGAGAATTTGTTCGGATTTCCTTTTTTCATGCAACCTTTACATGTCGAGATTCTTGTATAAAGCGGATTATTTCTAATTCGCTATTAAAGGAACGAATGAACTTTTTAGAATCTGTGAATTGTTGTTAGGTTAATTGACGATGTAAATTTAAACAGCACAACACAATTGGTGATGATTTGTGCTGATAGCCTGGTGAAAATCTTAGCGACCTGAATGATGGTGATTTAATTCAAATGTCCAATATAATACTCATGGGCTTAGACTATCTGTGGAAAAAGGAATGGCTTCTGTTGTGGAAAAGTCCTTGTAGCAAGGGAGTGATTCTTTCTCCACAGGAGTCATCGAGAAATGCGAGTGGAGTTCGGAACGAAACGTTAATCCCCAAATAACTCTGCGAAAGGGTTCTCACCTTAATAGCCAAGTTGTATGAGTCTGAATCAGAGATGATGGGCGCTTTTAAAGGTAAGGAACTTGAATCCACTGCTGATAGGTGGAAATGTTTCAGTGGAATTTAGATGCAAACATCAAAATGCAAGTACTAATATATATATGTATATATATGATCACGTATATTTTCACATAAATTTTTCGTTGGAGATTGCTATAGCAAAAAATGAGTCCTCTGGACTCACTTGTGAATCCTTATCACTACTCGTACCAGTGTGAATTTCTCATTCTTCATCTCTTTCCTTTGTGTTTTTAATACTCCATAATATGTATGCAACATTAGTGAAAATGTAAAATTTGTGTGGGTCAAAGAAAATAGTACATTTTTGAGGAGCGAGCATGATTTTCGAAAACACTATGTATAATTGTACAGCAAGAACGTTATACTGTTTTATTTATTCATCAAACAAAATTGAATCACTTTGTTGTAGACTTGTGGTGTAATTATTCGTCTCGTATCGAAAAATATTCTGTTGGTATAGGTTGCAGAAGTGCTGGTGAATTCTTATCACTACTGGTAACACCTTATCATCGCTGATTATTCATAATCATCGCCGACACTCTTTGCTTTTCTGTTTTCACTTTCAAAAATTTTCGTTCCTTCATAATGAATCATTTGAAAATATCACTTTTTTCGATTTTTATTCAACTCTAAAGTGTGAATATGCTATTAATAAGTGATGTATATGATAATTTAATATCATTGTCAGTGATTTTGTCATTTTTATTTATCAGACGAAGTTTATCTTTTATGCTTTATCCTCCACAAATCAATGGATTTGGCAATAACTTGTCGGAATATAAAGGGCAGGAATATATGGAATTGGAGACTGGAAAAAAGTTGGAAATTAGTTGTTCGTCAATGGAAAATATACATTGGATTTTACCAAATAATTTCCTTAGTTCCGGTTATAATTCACAAGAAGTTTGTTTATTTTTCATTTTTCAGTTGTTTTTTAAAATTAATTGTAATTAAAATGAAAAATTAAAACATTTCTTTCCAAAAATTTCTCACCATAACGTTTCTCATTTATTTATTTAACCTTTGTTTTTTAATTTATTTAGTTTTTTAATTTTAATTTAATTTAACAGATTATATAACTTGTAATATAATTTAAAGTTTTTTTATTTTTCTTAGCTTTGTTTTTAATAAATTTATTTCCATCCGCTCTGCGTAGTGCTTTGGGTTCTTTTTTCGATAGAATAATTTTTCATAAACATTCTCGAATTTTAAAACTTTAAAATATTAAAAAGATACAGAAAAATTTGGGCTTCTTCCATTAGCATTAAATGTACTAATCTTCCGTAAAAAACTATTGTCCTTTGTACGTAGATTTTTCCTTAAAATATGTGGTATTTGAAGTTTGTCCTTTCGATATCTGATGGTTGACCTTTTGATTTTACTATTATAAGTTCATTCGTTTAATCCTTTTTTCTTCATTTTTAATGTTGAGGGAAAAATAAATTGCATCACTGAATTCCAATCAACAAATTCAGTTTCACAAGCAAATTTAATAATAAATTTAACAAAATAACAAATTTGTGAACAATTTTGCTTTTTCGAATTTTCTTCAAATTTTTTGAATAAATTTTTTCGTTGAGAGAAACTGGTGCAAAAAGCTTCTCTGTTTTTAATTAAATTTATTCCTCTAATGGGGTATCAATAAAATTTTGTGAATGGTACGGGATGCATGGTTGCCTTCCGATAAACAAAAAGGGAAAGGGAAAAAAATGGAACAGAAGTTATCGAATGTTGCGGTTGCAGTTTGCTTTTTACAGCAAACTAATTTCATCTAGATTAAAGCAAAGAAAATTCCTTAGAAAATTTTAGCACGAAATTTTAACTAACAATAATTTTTTTTGTAATTTTTTTTTATTGTCAAGTCATGGCAAAAATTTATGTCTTGAATAATAAAAAAAAACCAAAGATATATTTTCAAGGTTTTCTCTTTAAAGGCTGCTTATTTTAGTTGATTTTATTTTTTATTTTATAAACCTCTACGACCGTTCACTTATTAATTGAAAAGCATCTAAATATTTATTAACTATAATTAAGGTTGAGAGTCGACTCGAAATCTATGAAGAATTCGTTGGGTTGAAAAAATTGACGTTAAAAAATTTGAAACAATCCGATACAGGCGAATATATTTGTACTAGTCAACCGTCCGCTATTAATACATCGATTTACGTTTATGTTTCTAGGAAAAATAAAGGTTTTCATTTATATTTTAATTAATTATTTCTATATTTCCATTTGGTAAATCAATCGAGCGGTTTTTTGCTTTAACTGAATTCAAATAGCATGAGTTCGTTCCATATCCTTAGATTTTGGAGTAGTCTTTGCTACTAACAGTGGAATATGGAGAGTGGAATTGAAAACTCATTTAAAAATTACATAGACCATAATAGTCGGTAAAGCCTGTCAGAGATGGTTGATTCTGCTAGATGAAGGTATTTTCATTTAATTGATCAAAAATTTGAAAGACAAATCTGTTCAGCGTTAACAATAACAATAGAAAAATATCTATTGATGGGACTAAATAGGAGAAATAATTTTGAACTTTTTAGAATAAAATAAAATTTTAGGTGATAAATCGATATTTTTAAATGATGAACCTCTTATCATATCAACTCCGTTTAATCGACCTTTTATCACTGTACCATGTAAAACTAACCGATTCATAAGTGATCAACCTAAATTATTTATAAATCATATCGAGCAACAAGGTAAATTCGACTATGATCCAAGGTTTGTTTAATATTTTTTCTAAAAATGCATAAAATCCAAGTTCGATATGTTTGTCTCCTAAATCACTCACCAATTTGAATGTTGTGACATCACTTTTAAGGATCAATTCATGGAAATTTACACTTGCAAATCAATGAATTAGTCTATAGGGGTTTTTTTCTTTTTTATGAGAAGAATCCTTATAAAAATATTATGAATTTCATTCATTTCATTTTAGTTGGTGAATTCCCTCCTTCCCTCATGGCTTTGAATTCCCTCATTTTTTTAATGCTTTATCCAGTAGATTTCCAATACTGAAAGGAATTAACGAATTCATTATTTTATTTATGAAAATGAATTTTTCTTCTAAAAATCTCTCAGCATTACTGATTTAGCTGGCTCTGCTGGCCTCAAGGGTAAGATGTTTTATTCGACGATAGCCATTGTTGAATAATAGAACCATTCCTTTTTCCATCGTATATCGCTCAACCAATATGTTCAAAATCTTTCTGGATTGTTTCAGTTCAAGTCTTGCTTAACTCACCTTATTTTTGATGCCATCTATCACAGGGCTTTTAACAAATAATGAAATATATGACAACTCTTGTGGTGGGCGATGAAGAACGTTGGCCATGTCTCGTATAGCACGATCGGGCGAATTACATGCAGCTATATCTATATGGACTTTCGTTTTAATGGTATTTTCGCGATGGCTCCATAAAGATTTCACCAATCGAAAGAATGCATTTTTAGCTACCGTTGTTCTGGTTATAATTTTTCGCTTGATCAACTTCTGGTATATAAGACGAAAAAATTTTCTAAATTGATCACGATTCGACTTTCGCTGCAATTTGTCGACGCATTGTTTAGTATAATTTGCATTTTGTCATAGGAAAAAGGACTACATAATCAGCGTTTTCAAGGTCTATGATGCTCTGGATTGATTTATACACCTCTTGAGTACCGACAAACGATGTCCATTATCCAGTTGAATGTTGTTGGAGAAAGGGCGCAGCCTTGGTAGGCACCATTTCTTATTTCGAAGGAGTTTGTCAGTTCCCCATATGTACAGACCTGCTCCGATGTATGAATAAAATGCCTTTATTATCGAATGATTTTCTCTGGAGTACCGTCACCCTCCAGAGCGCCGTCCAACTGAATCGAAGATAGGTGCAAAATCGATAAACAAGTGACAGTGTGTGGCCGATATTCGAAGCTATGTTTCAACATCTTTTCTATGCAATAAACTGGATAATACTTCATTAACTTGAATATCTGGTCAGTACCATTTCCCAGTCTGAATCTAGCTTCGAATAATTAGTCCTACATCCTTCTATCTTGTATTGCCATAAGTCTATTCAGTGAAAGGATAAAAAATTTTTCTGGAGGCGTAGGTGGCTGGTTCCTCGATAATTATGTCTTATCACCCTTCTTTTAATTATTAGTAAGTTTTCTTTCGCGAAAAGCTCAAAAATTCCTCGTATAAAAAGATTTATCGAAAAAATATTTTTCCACAAGTGCTTTTATCGTTTTAACTGAAAATCTTCGATGGTATTTAAAATATCGCTCCTCTTTGACTTCATCGGAATATCTTAAATAATTCGTGATTAAATAGCAATTAAATATTGTGAGGATCATTAATTTTTTGGAAATTTATGAATAAAGGGATATACAGATGAGTGGTAAAGAGGCGAAAGAAATTTTTATGAGATCATGATATGAAAACCTTTATTTTAGGTATGGATTTTCCGTGGAAAAAGAATTGTTTCCAAGTCTTTCAGAAACGTCAATTAAATGTGAATATAAAGACGATAAATCGGAAATAATAGTTGTTCCGGAAGGGGATAGCAAACTCGACGGTTTACCAGTTATTGAAGTTCAAAATCGATGGCCATATGTTGGTCAATCACTGGAAATTAGCTGCACTTTTCATATGAAACCAACATATAAGTATTCACTTAAATGGAGATGTCCAAGATGCGAACAAGACACGGTTTTTATTATATATTAATTTTTACAGTCCCAATTAAAAAAGGTAGTGAAATGTAATTCTGTGACCAGTTTTCCCGATTTAAGCATTCGAATTTAATTTTAAGGATCGAATCAGCAGTAATCAATATGTAAAAATAAACGATGGAATTCGAAAAATGATTTATATTGATGATCTTAAAACGGGTGATTCTGGAATATATGATTGTAGTCTTGTAAATAGAGATGATCCATCAGATCTTCGTACATCAGTTTATGAGTTGCACGTTTCGAAAACTAAAGGGCAACTTAAAATTATTGATACGGCTTTGGATGAAGAATATAGCGAAGGCGACGTGATAAAACTTTTCCATATAGCTGAATCCTTTCCTGTGAATGATTACAACGTGCAATGGAGGAAGGTGTCTTCTTTAAAATTATATTACATTTTATATTTCTTATTTTTTAATTATTTCTTTTGTTTGGAAATTTTCGTAAGTATGAAATCATTAAGCCAGTTAACTATCATATAGTTTATTCTATTTTACATAATAATTCCTTTTTTCCACATAAAATAATCTCTCATTTATAGATTTATAAAACCTGTCATACATTTCCGCATCAAAATATTGAGACGATTAGTGCAGGTTATACAAGTGACTTTAAAGATAATATTCATTCTGAACAATTAATCATTGAAAACGCCAAAGTGGAAGATTCAGGATTGTAAGTTTAAACAAATGTTTTTACAATTTTTACAACGAATCACCATTGTAGTGGGAAATATTTCTTACAGTATCTTTTTCTTGCTCTTTTTCATCTATTTTTTTTTTATTATTATTAAATTGAGTGGAAATAAATTTTAAGATATCAATTAACGATTAAAGTTAGCGATGACTTGGTGTACCACAAAAATTGGACGGTAAAAATCGCTCCAAGGGATATTCAACCGATGATTTCTGTGTTTCATTCGAATACAAATGAACTTGTAGATGGACCTGTTATGGTCAATACAGACATTTATGTTTTGTGTTATGTAAAAGATATTCGACATCGAAATCTTTATCTTTCATATAAATCGTAAGTTTTTGAAAAATTTTGAGAATTGAATTAAGTATAATGGATATTATTTCTTAAAATAGTTAGTTAATCTCATTTGAGCAAATCTTTCTAAAATAAAAATATAATATAAGTGATTCATTAATGAATTTCTTGAGTATGAATATTCATAAATACGAATATTCATAAACCCAAACACAACAGTTTTAAAAATTGAGGAAGGACCTAATTTTTATGTGGCATGAAATAAAAAATTTTTTTTCCAGAGCTCTTGGATCAAATTGGATTGATATAGCTACTGAGAACCTGGATAATTTAACTTTTGAATCAGCTATAATCCATCACTTCGTTTTGCAGACAACTATAATCTTTAAATGTAAATTGGAGAATATTAAAAATGTAAATATTGTAATCTCTTATCTCTTATTTTTCTAAAAATTTGTTTGAATAATTTCCATATTTTTTAAAATATTGTAGCTTCTTATATAATCTGTTCAAAATTCTTTGAATATATATTTGTAACATATATGAAAAATTAAATCATTCCTTTCTCAGGATATAGAAAAGAAAATCATTGCCACCGAAATTGATAAAATTGCAGTCGAATTTAATGTCTTTAAAGGAACGGACCCGGATATTGCACAGTACGAGAATAAAGATATCTATGAAGGTGATTCGGTTCATCTCAAATGCAAATTGCCGCCAACTGAAGATTTGTAAGATCATTAATTATCCAATATTTTGTGGTCCCATATTTTTCATTTGTTTTAAAATGATTTATTAAATCCAATAGTCTGATAAATTCCAAATTTATAGATTGAAATAGTTTAGATTGATTTGAACCGGATTTTGAAGGTTTATGCATCAGATTTTTTTTTTTGATCTTTCTAGTTGATAGTTTATAACTGTGTTTATAATATCCGGTTTTTCAGAAATTTATGAGATTTTTTGCAAAAATGTTTTAGTAATGTTCGATGGATCAAAGATAGACAAGAACTTCATTCGCCAGAAATTTTTGGTGAAGAAACTTTTACGTCATATATAAACGAAATTGATGGGATAAGAATAGATCAATCTGGAGATTATCGATGTGTTGCTTTTTCTACTGTTGATCAATCAACTCGCGAAGCTTCTCTAAAACTCAAAGTTTTTGGCATTTGAATTTTATTTCGCGATGAATTTTTTATCCAACTTTTCTCGATTTTGGATGGAACTTTTAACCACTTACACTTTTAATACTTTTATTTGTAATTGTTGTCATTTTTAAAAGATAAGATTGACGAATGCTTCTTATCAAGTAATCGGAATTTCATCTCAGGTTCATGAAGTGGTTGCCCCACAAATAAATCAAATGCTCGCAAAAGATATGCATGAAGTTAATTACGGTGAGAATACTCAAATAATTTGTCCCATACAAGGTTTTCCTGAACCGATATACAGATGGTTAAAAGATGGTGCGGAATACAATGGAATCGGGAACTTAACCAAAATCCTTGGTTTCCCTAGAATAATTTCGGAGGACAAAGGTATATATACGTGCAAAGCAAGGAATCGTGCTGGATCACAGGAATTTTCAACTGTTTTCAAGGTTTTTCCATTTTATGGTTTTTGAATTTTTGCTTGATGAATAAAAAAAAACTATTCAAATTACTCTTGTTATAGATATTGAATGAACCAGAATATGTGAAATCGTCAAGATACTGGTGGGCATTTGGAATTGCTTGTTTTTTTGTTGTTTTATTGATCATTGCAATTGGTTTCATCATTAAACAACGTAGAAGAACTATACGTCAACAACATCAATTACAAGCACTTTACAACCAGTTGATGGGAGTGGAAGATTCTTCTTTGCGAGATTACCTCATACAGCCAGTTGATTCGAAACATCCACTTCATGAACGACTGGAGCAGATGCCATACGACAGAAAGTATGAAATCAGCAAGGATAGACTTTCATTCCATCAGGTTATCTATGTTTTACTGCCAGTGGCGCATAAGTGATCAGTTTTTCTCTTAATTCTTCCTTTTTGTTCTTTCCTTGTCTATTTCTGTTAAATTAATTTTGTGAATATTAGAAAATATTTTAGCTTCTCGGTGGAGGTCAATTTGGTCAAGTTCATCTCGGTGAAATACATAGAAATATGGTTTCTGATATCACAGCTGCTCCATCATCAATAAAAGTCGCAATAAAGTCGCCACGTGATGGTCGTAATATCAATCATCAAAAAACTTTAGCGGATGAATTGAAGGTAATGATAGCCATCGGTATTCATCCAAATGTTCTACCACTTGTTGGTGCTGTCACTAAACAGATGTCCAGGTATTTTTTACTATTTTATTTATTATTCATAGCTTTACCTTTATTTTTCATTTTTTTAAGTATTTTTAGTTTAGAAAAAATTTTCCTTTAAACAAGTTATGATGGAATTTAATTAGCGACACCATTAAGATTGTCACTTTGTCACTTTTTGGTAAATGTCAGTTTTTAACAAAAAAAGGACAGGATGGTCGAGCGGTAGGTTTCTTCACCTGATGGTTAAGCACTGTGGGTTTTTTCTTCTTTTTTTGCTAAGAGTAAATCTATCATTAGAAGCTTACCGGATGGTGCTAAAAAACTGCTAGTACCTTTGTATTTGTCTTTAAGTGACTTCTTGATGAAAAGTTATCATTCCCATATATAATACAGTTCCATTATACCATTCCATTATACCATTACCATTATACAATTATAATACCATTCCCATATATATATATATATATATAACCATTCAAAGCACAAATAGTAAGCACAAATTAGAATAAATAAATGTCATTAAAATGAATTAAACATATATGAAGTAAATGTTAAATGTTAATTAAGCTTTGTTTATTGCGGCTGTTAAAGAGAGGCTTTACGAGCAAAACTAAAAACTTGGAATCTAAAATTTCAAATTTTAAAACCTTTAAAACTAAAATTTTTCAGCGGCCAACTTTTTGTCGTTATGGAATTTTGTGAAAATAATAATTTAAAAGAATTTTTAACACGAAATAGTGGAGGATTTTTGGGTGAAATCGAACTTATCGAAGAGCCGATGAATGCCGATGGTTATTTGACTCCAATTGGCATGGTTCAGCAACCTTTACAAATATACCGAGTAATTTATTAAATTAAACCATTGATTGCGATAAAATATATAATAAAATATATGATAATAAAATAAAATTGTAATAGTATCTTTAATGAGAATTAATTGCAATAAAATATATAATAAAATATATGGTAATAAAACAAAATTGTAATAGTATCTTTAATGAGAATTAACGGCAAGTGAATGAATGATCAATCACTTTATCAGTTGCTATTGAAAAAATAATTAAGGCGGAAGTCGAACCATCATGGGCAAATCTAGTTGATCAAGAAAGAATGAATGATAAAATGTTAACAACCAGCGATCTCATCTCATTTGGATATCAAATTGCCAATGGAATGCAATATCTCGCTGAAAAATTGGTTAGCTACTAAATTATGAGTAATGATTTATGGAGCTTCTTACTAAAAATTTGAAATATTTGTCAAAAATTTTATTATTCATGATATCCAATAAGCTATTTCTTTATTCATTATTCCTTTTTTTTTCAAATATTATTTAGGAAATTTTGGGTAATGACCGGTTCTGTTTCCAAACATATAATTTTTAGTGCATTCATCGAGATTTAGCTGCAAGAAACATGCTCGTAACGAAACAAAGAGCAATCCGTATTTCCGACTTTGGTCTTGCACGTAAAGATAAACGACTTTATCATATAAAAAATAGTCAAAGCACACCGCTACCATTTAAATGGATGGCGCTTGAGTCAATTTTAAATCATGATTTTACTGAATTGGTTTGTTTTATTTTTATAAATTGTCGTTAAAATAATCAAATTTGGACAATAACGGCAGAATAAATTTTGAATCAAAAATTCATTTTAATATTCTTTTTTGGGACAGGATAGCCGAACCTTTTAGTCAGCCAAATCAGAAATGGTGAATATTTATAAAATAATATTCAATTTTAGTCAAATATTTTTGTCTTGATTTGAAAAATGAAAATCGACCACTCTTAAGTGAAATTCTTTATTCAATATTATTATTTTTAGTTAGTTGAATATACCGAATATATTAGGATAGAAGGTAATATTTTAATCTAAACCCACTTTCAGTAATGCGTAAAATTTTCAGTCAGACGTTTGGTCTTACGGCATACTTTTGTGGGAAATATTCTCCTTGGGAAGAGTGCCGTATCCACAAGTGCCGAATGATGATCTCATTGATTACCTACAAAAGGGGAATCGAATGGAACAGCCTAAAGCTGCTTCTGATGACATGTATATCAATGAAATTCCAATATTAATTCCCATAGTCTTTTTGATTAATTTATGGAAAAGACTTAAAGAAAATATAAGGAATTGTTGGTTCTTATACAAAACCTTAAAACGGATGGACTTTAGAAAAAATTGAAAATAAAGTTTTTTAGTTATACTTTAATGAGGCAATGCTGGCTAACCGATCCTAATAATCGACCAAATTTCGGCCAGTGCAAAAATATTATGAAAAACCATCTAGATCGAGCTTCTCCAGTTGTAAGTTGATTTATATCTATCTCGCTATGGAAGTAGCAAAAATTCACCAAAAATGATTAGATTTTTTCATCACACACTTATTATATCACTTTCATGGGCCTGATACATTTCGACTAAAAAATTACAGTCCTTCCAAAATAATAATTTTATATACTATACTTTTTAATCTAATTTTATTCTAGTTATCGCAACGTCTTCAAAAAATACTGGAGGAGGATAAATTGAAAATGGAAAGATATACGGAATGGCGAGATTTGGAAACTGAAGAAGATTTACGAGCTCAAGCAACCAGAAACGGTTTTATTTCTGTACCAACCCAAGAACCAATTTTAGGTAATGAATATATATATACTCTTGATGAACGCTGAAATTAAATATCATTTGAATAACCTACATTTTGTAAATAGAGTGATTTTGTCTTTTATTTCATTCAACATATGAAAAAGGATTGATGATCGCAGTAAAATGGAACATGAATTGACATGAATTGGTACTGTGTTGAATTGAAATTGATAGTGGAATAAAATAAAATGATATTAAACATTTCTTATCAAAAGTATAAAATAATTATAACCTCTGACATAAATAAGCAAAAAAAAAACAAAAAATGCAGAAAAATAAATAACTGAATAAAGGTAAATATTCGGAAACAACAATTTCATACATTCATTGTTGACCTATAAAACACCACTCGATCTAATTATTAACAATTAAACAATTATTAAATTATAAAGCAAACAATTATTTAAATCCTAAGCTAACTGTTCCATCTTGATTTTAAGTCTATAAATTTCAAGTCTATGGATGAAATAATTCTTCTAGAAAAAGTTACATGACACTGTCTCAAATCTTAATTTCACGAGCTGGAGCCAGTCGATCAACTATTTCTTGCAATGGTGCAAGATCTTTTGATTCGATTAATTTAAATTCGTGGACGAATAACATAAAATGTTTGAAGCTCGTGTTTAGATGTTCTATCGCGTTTAAATGCTCTGAAATAAACCAAAAAAACAATCCAATAGATTCATAAAAAAAACAGTTCGTGGAAATAATTGTTTAATTGATGTAAACCTAAGGTTTATCAAAAAATACCAATTGTTTCGATATGTTGATAGTAAATGTGTCCATAGATTCGAAACAGGCGCTTCATTATTGTTTGAGCAATTTGCATAAAGTTCGGTGGGAATGGTACACCTGAAAAAATTGAAATGTTCTTAGAAAAAATCCTAATAAATATGTAACAGATTATTGGATTTCATTGCATTAAATCCATCAATTTCATCATTTTGTTCAACTTCGCTTTACCATATCAAAATTTAATTTTTTATTATTTTATATATAAGTTTTATTATTTTTCCTGTCATTCAAAAAAAATTGCAATATTAAGAAAAAATTAGTAAATACAAATCTCTGAGTGGAAAAATCACCAATTTGAGTCGAAAAAACAGATTCATCATCTAACTGATCATGAACCCAAGTTAACAAATAATCAATATAAGTTGGCGCTGGACATGCAATAGTCTTTCGTCCATCGGTCCATGAATACTCGTATTTTGAACCAGCACACATTTTCGGACACGACTCTGCTGTACAATGTTCACTTATTGTTCCAAATAACATGCTTATCTGATTGAAGAAATCTAAGACTGAAACAACATGCGGATTGCAAATTAATTAGTGAAGGTTTTTAAATTTGAATTTTAAAACCAAATTTGAGCTTGACCTTTGCTTATCTATTATTAATTTACCTCTAATTATTCATAAATGTATGAATACCTGAAACAATTCCTTACCTTATTAGTCATTCTCTTATTAGTCATTAGTTCTGATTAAAAATGGGACGAACGCATTCTTTATTTTTCTATTTCATTCTGCTATAAATTCTTTTCATTTGCTCTTCAACAAACAAACAAGTTAAAGAAATTTGTAAATTCTACTAGTTGTTACGGTTAAATTCTCAAAGATTCTGAAACATCTTCACTACGCAGAACCTCTTTGAAAAAAATTAAAAAAACTTTTAATAAGTTTAACCTTATTTGTGCGCAACAATAAAATTCATTTTGGTTATCATAAAAATTGTGTTTGTAGAGGAAATTTAGTGTAAAAAAATTTATCTCACGCAAAAAAATTTTTCCCCGCTGAATGTATTAAATTAGAATTCATGTGCTTAACAGATCCATTAAAAGATTTTTAGTAAATTTATATTTGATAACGAATATCTCATTTGACATATTTGATAACGAATTTTACAAAAATTCATTAGCAACGATTAAACGGCAATGAATTATAATTGTTCCATCTATGTGGATAATTTCTTTAAAATAGAAATTTAAAAAAAATGAAACTGATGGATTAACTAACTATTGACAGCAATCCATTCATTTGGATCTTCACTTTTAGGCAGTTTTACCGCCTCTCGTAAATTACCACTTCCAAGCGTCGCAGAACTATAATGTAACAATTGCGACTGCTTCATTTCAAAAAATTTTCGGCGCTGTTTATACGATGCATTGTTTTCCAAACTAAAGAAGACGAGAATAATGAAAAAAAATTAAATTCTTTCCACTTCAAAAAATTTTAATTTCTCAAATCAATTAAAAAGGGTTGATAAATATTAATTGAAACTCTTATAAAAAAAAGGAAAACCGTAAAAGAAATGTAAATATGTAAATTCCTTGCGTATCCGAAAATTCGAAAAATTTTGATAATATTCATAAAGAAAGAAAGATTATTGGTAAACCCTTGTGCGAACCTTGAACTATTGCCTTTTGAAATCTTCATATCTTTGGCCAATTCAGACATCTATTACTGCTGCTGAGATGAGATAAATCCGCTTTCACAAAACATGGAAAATTTTCGATGAAACATCCAACCTCCAAATTTAGAAATAAAATAACGATTCTATTCAACTTTTCGACTTAGCCCATTCAGAATATTATACTTGACCCTAACACTGGGATAGATCAACAAATAATGCTTTTAGATTGCAATTTTCGGCTTCTATCCCCAGAAGGAATCTAAAATATTTCAAAAAAATTCGAGTCGTGCTGAAGAATCACCTGTGCTTCTACTCCCAAACGATTTTCACTCAAAATTTTTAATGCCTTATCTCGCGAACAACCAGTAGACCTACTAACTAACTTTTTACATATTTTTTCAAATAATAAATCGATGCTACTATAATAAATAAGCGCAAATGATTATCAAAAAAAAGAAAATCTCAAAAACCATAAAAAATTTATCAAAAAAGGGAAGGATATTGAAAATATTGAAAAGAACTTTACATTTCAGCATCATACTACGTTTGGCTAGAAAAAATGAAAATTAAAATTCTACTTATTCATTCAAAAATATACACAACTGGAGACAAAGATAAATATTATGCCTTAAATCTTCTGACATTCTTTCCTTTTCCATTTCCTATAATTGGAAATTATTTTGCTCATAAATGCAGGAAAAAAATCAAACACAATAAGCATTAAAAACAATTCGATGGAAATAACAGGAAACGATAATACATTTGTGCAAAATAGCGTGAAAATTTCAAACTCAATATTTAATTTTAGAGGTGCACTGAAAAATTTTGAAATTCCCACTTGATAATATAAAATTCAAATGGAAAGTCAAAGATAAATTAAAAGTTATGGTCAATTTTCTATAAATTAACTTAAAGTGATGATAAATTATTCCGTCACGTGGTCCAAACGAAAATATAAACTGAAAAGTCATACTCTATATTCAATTCAGCCATAAAATTTCACAGTGAAATATCAGCCATAAAATATATGATAACAATAAACATCAGAAAAATGTTTATAAGCTCATTTGACTACGCAGACTTTTTCAAATTTCGAAAGCAGTTCAAATTTCAAAATTCTTCATATTATTTAACATACTAAACTTAATAATCATACAAGTTACATTGCCTCAAGTAACAAATAGGACTTAAAGAAAGTAATCCGGTGTCCTTCGCGTAACATGGGGTTCTCCACGTCGAGGAGCAGGATCGAATTGAAGAAAAGAATACTTTAATTCATCATCCAGTTCTACCATAGCTGCCTGATTCCCACATCTATAGCAGTAATTGGGAGCAGAGAAAACGGTTACAACATTTCGATCATGGCACCAGTTATATCCCTAAAATTAAAAACAGCACAATTTACTAAAATTGTTTTGTCAAAATCCATGGAATATACTGTGGAATTTGATATTCCGCGTTAATTGCAGATGAAATTCAAATCACTTAAAAAAAAATTTGCCTAATATGCTTAAAGATTTTTAACTATAACTGATTATATATATATATATATGGACTGGAGAAATGTGGTCCGATAAATAATAAAGAGAGACAAAGTTAGAAATGATAGAAATAATGGGACAGAACTGTGGGCATACAAACCAGCTACAATTACCTTGGCATCTTGCATTCAAATAGGAACCACGATGAAGAGGCAAGAAAAACAGCAACATCCAAACATCACCAAAGAATAAAGCATCTTGTGAAAACTCGGCTCAGTGGGAAAAACAAATCCATGCCACAAATATTGCTGAGACCTCGAAACCTCTTACAATGCACAAAAATTTCCACCTTGGTTCTAATACCCAAAGACTATACAACAGCCGAAAAGGATGACAGGGATGAATATGACAGCCACTGTCTTAAAAAACTCAAAGCACTTTTTTTAAACAGTCATCACCATTTCTGGTTAAATTCACTCCGCTGGCTTGTCGCATTGGACAAATATGCCAGGGAATGCCTTGGCAATAGAAGTACAGGTGAGTCGCCACCATCATACGGATTTTTGGACAAGTTTACTGATAGAGGGAATAGAACTTGTATCGGCACTCAGAATTGAACAACAACCCATTGAGCCATTCTCAAAAAAATTGAAGCATTTAAGATACCAATAAGCACCAAAGGATAAGCTTCAGAAAGAATGTATCAGATATCAAACATTGGAGAAAGACCAAGTTAAGGAAGTGCCATGGCGAAGCAAAATTCTCCATGGGATGTATAACCGACAGAAATTTGAGAAACCCTTTAATATGGCTGGAACACTGAGTCATTGACATAAGAACAGATATTAAGGTACCAGATCCATTCAAGCAGAGGTTTATAATATTAGATTCAAGGTGCAAACTATACAAAAAAGTAGACACTGTTTTTAGAAACTGTCCAACATATAGTGGCTGCAAGCAAGTACAGCATACATAAACCATATTAAAGGCACAATAAAGCTCGTAACTATAGAAATATCTATTCAGTATATGGATTCATCCTTTCAAGACCAGATGGTAGATTTTCCAGAAAACAATATACAATAACAATGTCAAGTGACCGGAACAGGAGAGAACCAACCAGGAAGAAGGAATATAAAGTTAGAGAAATGAAGAAAAAGAAATTGGAGAAGATATGGAAAGTGAAGACCAAAGTAGTCTCAGTGGTGGTAGAAGCTGCCATGATAAATGTGGAAATATGATCCTAATAGATAACAGGAATAATATCAGAGAATTATCACCCGAACAGCTAGTAACGGCTAACAGCTAAGAAGTCGCACAGAACTATAAAGCTTCTAGACTCTGCTAGAGGAACCAGAGTTCCATATCACCCAAAGGGGATGAGAACGAGATTTTTTTACTAAAATATGCTAAAATATACATGACAAAATATACTAAATATATTAAAATGTAATGAATAAACTAATAAATATCATCAGAATGAAAAATTATACAAGTTATACAAAATAAATTCTAAAAATTAACCTCCATAACCAGCTGATGTGCCCTGGAAATTAGAGTCAACGCATTGGAGTGATTGAATGTTTCTGATATGTCCTGTCCAAAAGTATAACCAGCTCCACGTGGTGATATACCCCAACCACCTCTATCATCAGGATCCGACCATAAAAGATCACACATTGGACCTGTAATTAAAAAGAAATATGTTGTCCTAATTTTAATTAAAAAAAGCTTAGAAAACAGGCCAAACAGTTTAATTTATAGCCAGATCTGACTTCCATCTTTTATATCTAATCTTTCAATGCGCAAAAAAACCGATAAAGAGTCAAACCTTCATGCGGAACTTCTTGTAATCGATCCAAAGAACGAATGTGATCAAGATTATCTATCGAGGGAGAAAGACCTCCATGCAAGCAAAATATCTGACCATCTACTAAAGCTGTCAAAGGAAAATAATCAAATAAATCCGTGAAATATTTCCATACACATGCATTTCCGTACTTACGCAAACATTCATCGTAAAATCCATATACCTAAAAAAAATCCACCAAATATTAAATTATTAAAAATATTAAAATTCACCTTTTTCTCATAAAATTTTAGCAAAAAAAATTACTTGCGTTATCTGCCGAGATTCATGATTACCTCGCAATATCGTTACACGTGATCTATATCGCACCTATAAATTGCTTTACAAACCATTTAAACAAACTAAAGGTTCATTGAAACAAATGAAAATCGAGTAAATAAAATTTTAAGAAATTCTAAAGAAAATGGAAAAACCTTTAAACAAACAAGAAGTGAAACTGTTTCAACCGAATAATATCCCCTATCAACATAATCACCCATAAATAAATAATTCGTATCTGGCGATCGACCACCCATTTTAAACAATTCCATTAAATCATGAAACTGCCCATGAACATCGCCACAAACTGTTACTGGACATCGCACTTCTTCAACATTGGATTCTTGTTGAAGAATTTCTTTCGCCTGAAATTTAAAAGAAACTGAAAATCTTGAAAAGAGAATGAAATCTTCTGTACCCCTGAATGCCTATTTATAATTTCTCAATTATAGTTATAAATGATTACATATATTTATCAATCATTTATTTGTATTTATGGATTCAGTTGAACTTCGCATATTTCACGATGAAAACTTAGCTAAAATCAATAAATCGCCGTATTGCACACCATTTAACAAAGGAAAATTGCCTAGTCAGATTTGGATTGGTAATTTTACGCCGATTTCGAAGGCATTGAAAAATTCATTACACAGAAATATTAGAAAATAATAAATCAAATAAATAATGTCAAAAAATTAAAAATTAAAATGCAATAAAAAATTTTTTTTGCCATATGAGAACGGATTATTTCTTTATATAGTATAGTAGTGTGAAACTGTGTTCCATATGTTCTATATAATCGAGGTTCGTGAACTTATATCTCACAGTTCAATAATGGCATGTGAATAATCATCTGAAGATTATCTGACACTGCTTTAAGAATTTGCTAAAGCTTTTAATTATAGACCTATAAGCCTAATATGCGTCGTTGGTAGCAAGGTACTCAAAAGGTTTAACCAATTTACAACAAATTGGTTACTTATCTTGATGCAATAATTTTATATCCCCTTATCAACATGGCTTTTACAAAAAAATCTACTTCACAAATATTGGCTAATCTTTCGATTGGCCAGCATCAGCTGACAATGGAAAAACAGTATCAGTTGTGTATCTAGATTTGGCTAAAGCTTTTGATACTGTTTCCCATAGCAAATTATTGATCACTCATAATAGTTACGGTATTACAGCTGCCCTTTATGACTGGGTGTCAGATTACATAAAAGATTGTCACCAAGCCGTACGAGTCAATAACACTCTCTCTGACACAAACATCTGTTAAATCTGGTGCTCCCCAAATTGCGCTATTGCTTTTTCTATTATATATAAATGATATCACCAATGTGGTACCAAATTCTATTATTTATCTTTATGCTGATGATTGTTAAATTTATTATTCTCATGGCAGAACAGATCTCCACTGCAGGAGGACCTGAACACAATAGCCAACTGGCTATATGATAGGAAAATCACCTTTTCCTTTCAAAATATCTACATATAAATTATAAAGGATTCGATCATCTTAATCTTTTTATTAATGGTAATAATCAGACGAGTCTCACATATTTCCAATTTTGATATAACCATGAATAATGGATGAAAATCTCGATTTCGATTTTCACTGCAAAACCATGATAAAGAAATCCTTAAAGATATTAAATTTTATTTTTCGTTAATTTTATTTTAAGAACAAAACTGATGATTTTACTATCAAAATGTACAAAGCGTTCGTTCGGCCACTTCTTGACTACAATACTATATGTTACTCCCCGAGATATCATAAATCAAGTAAAATAATTGAAGGACTCCAAAAATATTTTATATGACGCCTCTCTCCTAACTGCATTCGATTAAAAGAAAACTTTGCAATACAACCTGGATTCTCTGTCAGTTCGTTGTATTAAACTGGATTTAATTTATACTTGTAAGATTCTGTATGGTTATGTTAAACTAGACTGTTCAAAATATAATTTTAGGTTAAATTTAAATCCAACAAAAACTAATGGGCAAAAATTACTAAAATCTATACTAAATACTAAATTAAGGACTCATGACTTCTTCATAATATTAATTACTGGAATAAACTACCGAACGATATGGTTTGTGCCATCCCTACTTACCTTTAAAAAAAGATTAGATAATATCATTTATAATATTATTTAAAAAGTTCATATCATGCAGGAAATCTCGATTTTTACCATCCGATTATAGTTATTTCGACTCGTACTATATTATTTTGTAATTTCCTTTTTATTTCATCTTTAAATTGTTAATTTTATTCTTGTCATTAATTCTTATTATTTTTGTCATTAATTATTTGTTATTTTAAATGTTGTAATTAATGCAATCACATGGCGTTCGCGCCCTGCTTGGCTAGTTTGCAATAAATAAATAAATAAAAGAGATAATGCAACGATAGTAACAAAATAAACAAAATATATCCAGATGAATGCGATGAAATATTAAAATAAAATAGTGAAATTTGAAATTTTCTTAGAAAAATCTTTGAAATTTTTAAGATCCGTTAACTTTAATGTTAACTTTAGTTCACGGGATATATGATCGGTAAATCTTCGAAAATTGACGAAGACTTTTTGCGTTCCATAGTTGAAGCCGATCAATAAACACTGAATTAAATTACTAAGAAAATAGGTCATACCAGTCAAACAATATTAACCTTCTTCTTCTTCATCTGACAGTTCCCACCACTACCGGCTGGCTCCAATGACTACAAGGATAAGACGCTTCAAAGCGGCCTGATGCTATCGTCGACAATAATGGAAGCCATTCCTTTTTCCATCGTCTAAGTCCATATATTGCTGGTCCATCTATATGTTCAAAATCTTTTCACACCGTACAGGTCTTGATTGGCCCATATCGCTTTTGACGCCAACCATCACACGGTTTAGCAAATAACGAAATATGGGTCAAATCTATGGTGAACGATGGAGAACATGCCTAATCAGCGAAGGCGACGCTTTGAGATAAGATTATTTAAACAAGTGGTATTTCAATGAAGGTAGATGTGATATTTTATCTGCTGGACGGATCCGTAAAATGTACTTTAGACAAGAGTGGTCAAAGACAGACAACTTCTTAATATCCTCCACTCTCATTGGCCATATTGGTCTCAGAACCATATAGTAAGATCGAACGGATCACGGTAATATAGATGCGGAATTTTATTTTTATGGTGATTTCACGACGACTCCATAAAGGTTTCGTCAACCGGAAGAACGCATTTCTAACTGCCGTGATCCGAGTTGTAATATCATCTTTTGCCTGTCCATTTGGTATTAGAGTGGACCCAAGGTACTTGAAATCAAGCACTTCCTCAACCGATAACGAATTTACAAAAAGAGACATTTTATCAGCTTCTTGCACATAAGACGAAAAGACTTTCGTTTTATTTATGTTGATTCTTTCTTTATCCGATTCGATTCTTTACAATATTAATCAAGTGAATGCTAAAAATTAAATGAAGTGCATGGGTTCCATAAACTTAATAAAGACCAAATACTTCTATGATTGTCTTCGTTTAGTTTCGCTTGTTTCTACCTAGGAAAAAAAAATTATTTTTGAAAAGGACATTACTGGTGATAAAAAGTGGACCCTACGATAATCCTAAAACATATAGTAATGGATTATCAAGAAAAATTACTATTAAGGAAAAATATCAGCGACCACCACCAACATTTAAACCTAACATTCATGTCAAAAAAACCCTACTGTGTATATAAGTAGAGAATAAAAGAGACAATTCATCATAAGTTGCTAAACAAGTTGCTAAATCTTTTTAAACCTTTTTTAAAATAACGCAATTTCATTTTTTTCTATAGTAATTCGGTAAATCTATTCAGTAAAAACAAAGCAATTAAAATTCGGTAATTATTACTTCATTTTTATACTAATTAATAATCACTAAAAGATCACTCGAAAAAATTGCATAATCATTTTAAAAAACGAAAAAAAAAAAATTCATACCTTATCGCATAAAATTTTAACTTGCGCTTCGGTGAGTTGCTTACATTCATAAAGCTGTTCGATCCATTGATCAATTTCTTTCAACATCGAACGATCTGTAACATCACCCGAAGAAGATACATCACCAACTGTCGCGGTCATTTAAAAAGCTATAAATTTTAGAAAATAAATGGAAATTTTCAGCAGATAATAAAAATGATAATCAGGTGATAACGATAATAAAACAATGAAAAACGATTTAAATACTATAAAATAATAGTGGAAATATTCATATATGCATTTAATAAGTTTAAAATTTTTCAACCGCTTATGACGAATAAAAATTTTAACAATGTTCGCTTTAAATTGTTTTTAAGCAATTAATTTCGAATAAATTATAAAAGTTACAAAAAGAATCTTTAAAATTCTCTAAAAATCTTCAAAAAAAAAAAAAATCAAAGAAGAGTAAAAGTGAGAAAATTTTACTACTAAAAATTTTCTAAAAAACTTAAAACTTTAGAAATTTCTCCAAACGAAACGATCTACGATTTAAAAGATGCTTTCCAGTTGTTTCTTACGCTAAAAACGTCGTTTATTTGCTCTCTTCTTTCCTTTTTCTCCTTTTGCCTTAATTCTCAATCCTTTCTACCATTACATTCTAATCATTACCAAGCCATCAACAACTTACAACAACTTTGTTCCTGCAAAATTTTTCCAGCATCGCTTTATTTCTTTACCAATAAATTAGGACTATCGTCGACCAAAAATTTCAAGAAGCTAGTTCACTAGCTTCTTTTTTAATTATGAAGAAATATTATAATACGGTGATCATCAAATCAACCTCCTACAGCCTGTGCTGACTGACTTTAAGGAAGGCATAAAGGAAGCCGCTTCAAATCAAATATTTTTATTATATTTAGATAAACAATTATTTATGATTATTTTTGTTAGCCATATTCTATCAAAATTCCTAGGTGGAAAATTTTCAGATGGTAGAAACACATAATTTCCAAAATATTACGCTGATTATCAAAGGATTTTCACGGCTTAATTCAAGAGGACCAAAGATAAAAACTACCACTATTTTAGAGCAATTTTTTATTGCTGGAAATAAAAAATTAAGCGAACATATTATAGGATATTAATAAAGGATATTAAAGGGTATTAACAAAATCTATTATTAAAAGAAAATATCTTCTTATCAGTTTGGTATTTTAAAAAAAATCTTTTCATAAAATAAAGAAAAAAAAAGGCAAAATTGAGTATAAAAAAGGATTAAATAAAACCATTTCCAATTTTCCTGAACAATATATTACAAAAACTGTCAAAATAATATTTTCAAAAAAATGGCAGAAACTCTTCCGATTTAGCTGAAATAAACTTGCGAAAAATTTTCATTTTATACAAATGAAAAATGCATATAGAAAAATATAAAAAATACTAAGGAAACGATGAAATCAAAATCAATAAATTAAAAAAGTAAAATAAAAAATAAGAAAAGAATATAAGAAATCAAATAAAAAGTGAAAATAATTAAAAAAACAGAAGAAAAAAACAATTAAATGAATTAGAACTATAAAATTATTCCAATTTATTTTTAATGCAACAATTTTTTCGTTTTCTTTAAATTCGTCCAGAGTTACGATTTTAAAAAAGGAAACGACAATGAAGTAATCGAACGTCGCAGAGCAGTCCATTTAAAGGGAAAGTACCACAAGATCCAAGAAATTAAATTGAGAAATTACGTGAGAAATTACGAAAGGAGCCTTGCAATTTCGGTAGATTCTTGGCAAATCTCTTCACCTCCTTCGATTGACAAATGTTAAAGATTCAAAACGAACTTAAAAACTCACGGAAACACCCGAAAACCCGAACAACCAGCCAAATTTTTTAGCAAATTCTTAAAATTAACAGATTTGGCAAAGAGCCAATTTCATTTGTGTGGCTGAATATTGTACCATATTAAAAAGTTGATGCGCATTCTTTAATTTTCGCGGTAATTTGAATCGCATTATTTCAATCGATTTAGCATAAATTATTCTTTCTTCTTTTCTTTTACGTTCTAATTCCCTCCAATCTTTATATAGATGGGTTCTTTTTTTAAATCCGTTCTATCTCTAAATCTCTCCCTAAGAGATTTGGTTTATCACTGGTACGGTAAATATAATGCATGCAAATCTTCTTCATATTCAATGTTGGCACTCGTCGATTAAATGGGCAGCGTTTTAAAGAATGTCAAATTATTTTTTTTGTTTGATTTTGCGCTAGATAGGAAAAGTACATATACATGGAATTCTTGATAATTGTATATAATTTTCTATCGAATTTTAAAATCATAAAAATCAGATCAGATTGTCAGTAGTGATAATATCAGTGGTGATAAAACAAAATCGCACTAGAATTGTCAGATTTATGAAAATATTCTTGCTCACAAACACACACTTATTTTTTGCATTAAAGTCACTGAAGCCAAATCCGAGTGGATGTGTTATCTGTGCTTCCATCTGCAAGTGACTATGGCGAATTGGTCAAGCAAATCGCAAACGGCGCCCGCATTATAATTTCGACAAGTTTGGGCTAAGTGCGGTAAATGTGGTAACCGGGTTCGGACATAAAAAAAGCAAAATTGGCTTTAATTTGGACCGTTGAGGGAACTTATTTAAGGAATTTAAAGAAGGTGGACAACTGTCAATCATGTGCACGCAATGTGGTCTTAGACGTGGCTGCATAGAATGTCAGAACGTATGTATTTATGGATGTAGAAAGCCAGTTAATAACCACCCACATTTTATCCAAATGTTCTCTGGATATTAACTGCATGTCGGAAGCGAATTACGGAAATAATTCTGGGTCAGCAGCAACTATCTCGCTTGGATAAGAACTACTGGCTCTGTCAGTTTTCGGACAACTCAGGAAAAAATGGAGTAGTCCGAAAGGGCCTGATTAGTTCCAATCATGTGGAATCTTGTTAATGACCGGTTGGCCTACGCCTTTTTAAAAACAAATTTTGTAATACGCTGGCCATCAGTGTTTGTGCTCTTTAAGTGCATGAATGATCTGGTAAAGATAGCCCCTACGTAGAGCTTATATTAGCTCGTGCTGGCAGCATCCTTCACAAAGAGCGACGTATTCACGATCGGGAGAGATCATAATGTTCATGTAGGATGCGAGGCCCCTCCTCACTACCTCAATTATGGCGTTGGAACCTATTGGGCCAATGGAGATACTCTCTACTTTGCTGAAAAGCATTAGCCTTTTACCAGCAAAGCTTTCAGCTTCAGAATATCTAGTTAGCAGAACCCATCAGACAATCAAAACATTCGAATTGACTATATTGTAGTGAAATAACAATGGAAACGAACTAAATAACGGTGCATAGGTGAAATAAGCAATTATCATGGGCCGGATGTACTATGGCTAGATCCAAGACTGAATAAGACTGACTGTGCAAAAAATAGCTTCTCCGAAATGTTTTAACTATCTTAAGTAGAAAGATTTATGAGACAACACGTTTTGAACTGAGGTGTTCATACATTTAAATGATTTTAACACTAGTTCTTTTGAATCCGAGGAGTGCGGGTTCAAGTCGAAATTCTACCTCCAAGAATCAGCAAATCTGCTTTAGAATAGTTTTTGACCAATCTTTCTATAATCTATTTAGTCAGATTTTTTTTAAAGAGTTCTCACCATTATTGATTAAACTCCACTGGCTTGTCGCAGTGGGCAATACGCCAGGGAGCCCTTTGGCGCTAGAAAAACAGTCAGTCGCCAGCATCATCCGGATTCTTGCACAGGTTTACTTTTGCGAGGAATCGAACCTCGGCGCTCCCAATTGAACAAAAACCCACGGAGCCATTCTATCTCCCTTACTTAAAAATTATTCAGATGGCCGAAATGATTGCATGATTTGATCTCTGGGAAACTCATAGTCTGCTCAGCAATAAAAAAAAGAGTAGTTATAGTTAGTTTCAAGAATGACATCGGAAGGCATCTTCCTCCGATGCAGCTATTAGAAGAAGCTTAGAAGCTTTGCCCACAACTCCGGCTACATAATATTAGTATTTTGTCGATTATATCAGTAGAAAATTTTATTATCGGCGATGACAAGGACGACAAGATTGTAGTTGTTATTTCCAGCAACAATGATATTCTATTGCGAATAAATAGCGAAATTTCGAATTGCTTTTTTATTTTTGGTTAAATTTCAAAATATTTTTGTGTATTCAATTAAATTTATGCTTATGTTTACATTTATATTTATTTTTATATTTATTTGTATTTATTTATTTATATATACTTATTTAGATTTATTTATGTTTATTTAATTAATTAACATTTTTGCAAATAAAAATAATTTTATAAATATGACATGTTTATAAATATGTTTATTCTTAATTTTTTTTCTTTTCTTCCTTTATTTCTCTCTATTTTTTCCTTTTTTTGATAAATTAAATAAAGAAAATTATACCACTTCGTCACAATGACGGAAAAGCTCTTCTGACAATTCGAATCATTTATACAGTTAATTAATTGTACAGGCAAGCATTACTGCGACAGTAGCCAAATATTATTATTAAGCGCTCATCAAAGCCACGCCTATCTGACAAATGGCCATTGGTGGTAAAGATAATTGCGAACCTTTTATATGAGCAAATGACAGATGATAAAATGGCGCAAAATACCTTTTTCGACGATTATAGGTAATTTTGTCACCTGAAAAAGTTCATAGTTTACCAAGAAAATTTTTTGTGTTTTCATTTTTTTATTATCATTGCTATTATTATTATCATTATTATTATTACCATTATTTTTATTTTACTATTATTATCATTATTATCATTTTATTACTATTGATAATTATTATCGTTAATTATTCTTAATTATTATTGTTGATTATTATTAATCATTATTCTTATTAAATTATATTAATCATTGATTAATAATTGTATTATTATTATTAATACTATTATTAATAATATTATTATTAAATATTATTATCAAAAACATTATTATCAATAAAAATGATTAATTATTATTATTAATTATTATTCATTGATATCATTCATTCATCTCCACTATTTTGTTATTATTTATTGTAATATTACCGTTTTTATTTCAAATATCACTTTTTCACCATTATTATTCCATTATTCCGCCGTATC